GGTATATTTCTATATTGGGAAAGTGCCATTCATCTAGATGTTTAGCCACTATTTTATGGCACAAAGTTGGGCTATGCTTATAGCCTTGTGGCAATCTTGTAAAAGTATATTGTCTCCCCTGCCAAGTGAAGGCTAAATATTTCCATTGATCTGAGTTAATTGGAATTGTAAAGAAGGCATTAGCTAGATCCAACACTACATACCATTGACCAAGATGTTTTTGAATATTCTCTTTTATTAAAATAGTATCCGGAACAGCAGCATGTAATGGAGGAGTTACGGCATTTAATGCTCTATAATCTACTGTCATTCGCCAAGTTCCATCAGATTTTTTAACTGGCCATATAGGATTATTCCATTCAGAAGTGGTGGGGACAATAACCTCTGCTGCTACATAGTTTTTTATAGTTTCAGTAATTTCTTGATGTCCACCAGGTATTTTGTATTGCTTGCAATGTATTACTTTGGTAGGAGTTAGCAAGGTTAAAGGTTCCATATCTAATTTTCCAATAATTAATGATGGATATATTTTATATGTTAGTTTAGCAATAGCAAAATTATATCTTCCATCCTCGAATTGCAAGGACATTCCTTTTAAAATATCCATCCCTAGTATATATTCTGGTATGGGCACTATCATAACAGTATATGATTTTTTAGGAGAATGTCCTATTTTCATGACCAATTCGGTTTGTTTAGCCATAATTTCCTTTCCACCTAATCCGGTAATTGTAACTGTCATCTCCTTGAATTTATCTGGGTTCCCATAAATTAAAGAAGCCTCAGCCCCGGTGTCTACCAGGGCTTTTACCCTAGTTTGAGATCCATTCTTCCAAAAAATAGTAATAGGGACATGTGGCCTAATATCAACCTTCGTCTGGGACACTGTGGCCTGGCTTACAAGTCAATCTTCTTTAAATAAATCGTCCCATGGGTAGATCTGTTTGACTCCAGACCCCGATTCTGGGCATTTCTCTTCAGTCCCAAAAAAAGGGTTAGGAGCTTTCCTTTTATCCTTTTCATCTCCAAACTGTACTTTTTTTTAACATTACGGACCCTCTCTTTATACAAGGCCCATAACTCACTAGTAGGAAGCCCATCCAACTTTTCGGGTTTGTTTTTTTTTTTTTTTTTGAGACGGAGTTTCGCTCTTGTTACCCAGGCTGGAGTGCAATGGCGCGATCTCGGCTCACCGCAACCTCCGCCTCCTGGGTTCAAGCAATTCTCCCGTCTCAGCCTCCCGAGTAGCTGGGATTACAGGCACGCGCCAACTTTTCGGGTTTTAAGCCTGCTTTCATTAACGCTTGGAACATTTCTTTCCTGGTTACCCTGTCCTTTTTTCCTTTTTGCTCATCATCCCGTAATCTTCGCTCTTTACTTTCAGACCAATCACCCATATCCCCCAATTCTACCGTCTTTTCTAAAATACCTTCTATGGGATTCCCAGTTTCATTTAACAGTAAGGTAATCTTCAAATGTTTACATGCGGGAGGGGCTGTCTTAATCAAGGCACTCCTATGGGTGGATAGCATAGCAGTTTGCAAATAATTATCTGTTTGTAGCTGGGATTACAGGCACTGCTATAGAAATAGCAGTCTTCATAGCCTCCTTCTTTAATCGCCTAATGCCATCTTGTATTGTATACCATAACTTATCATCAGAGGGCCAAGCAGATTCTGCAGGATACTGCCCCTGGCACCCTCAAGCAGCTAATTCTAATAAACTTGACATGGCCCCTTCCACGGGGCGATGCTGATGATCCCTAAAAGCAGTTTGAACTGTGGGATTAATAGAAACTGTAATAAATTTAAGAGCATCCTGGTTATCTATTCTTATACCTCAAGCTCCCATATCTGCAATCCGCACCATCCAATCTAGAAGTGGTTCAGTAGGTTTTTGTGAAAATTTATATAAAATATCTTGAACTTCTTGTTGTGTAAAGTCTTCTTGTATTAAATAAGTTTCAGTATGTCCGTCTCCTCGCATTTTCTGATGCCGCCGTGCCAAAGGCTTTGCTTGTACTGCCGGCGGGGGACGATACTTACTAGCCTCCTCATCTAAAAATCCTCAGTCCACATCAACTCCATCATCCTCAGTATTGTCCCAAATGTCACCATCCCACTTATCTGGGTCCCAATCTCGGGGCGCAGAGGCAATAACTGCACAGACCTTCTTTGCATTCACTTTCCCTTTCCTCTTTCTGTACTTGTATTGAGCACAACGGACTGCGGCTTTTTCAGCCACTCCCTGATAAGTCCTAGCTTGATCTCCAAGGATGAAAGTTTGGCACTGTAACATTGCTAATTTCCCCTGCAAATCTGCCAATTCTTTCTCCAGCTGCAATTTCTCTTGAATTAAGGCTTGACGTGCCTGGTATTGCTTTCTATAAGCCGATAACAAAATCCAGCCACGCCGACTGATAGCTACCAATTCCTTCTCTTTATCTAAAGGGACTGTTTCCAAGACTTCTAGGACCTGCATAGGGTCAGCAGATCGCAATTTACCATCCCAATTTTCACTCAATCCTGTTCCATTAGCCCATACCCTAGCCAAAGATGCAAACACCGGATCTTCCCAACCCGGCACATCACAAACCACATATTTCGCATCTACAGATTTCTTAAACAAAGGCATAATGCCTCCTTCTCCCCGAATCCTGCCGACTATGCCAATTTGTTGCGCTAACTGCGTGTACCAAGCTTGCTTTTTCCTTTAACAGGCAGATTCGTGGGAAGAAAACACTAGACCGAGAACAATAATAAAATGATAGAAAATTTTAATGAGAGAAGTAGGAGGATGGAAAGACAATAGTTATATATATATACACACACACACACACACACACACACGAAAACCACTCTACCTCAGCACCGGCAAGACAGCAGCACCGGCTATTCGCAAGTCACATCTGGAAGTCGCTCTGATTCAATATCTCTGTGTTCTTTTTGCTCCTTTATTGTATCTGCTTACATAACTAGTTTACGTCCTCATCTTTGGGCCAGTCGAGTTCAGTCGGTAAACAAGGAAGATCTGCTTCATAAGTGTCCTGTCCTTGACTGTTTCTTGGGTGCCGGGAGTTGGCCAGACTCTCAGCCCCCAAGATATCGTTCTGCTCCGCCAAGAGCTCTTAGCGTTTCAGAACAGTTCATGGACAGTTCATGGGCTCACAGATCCTTTCCTGCCTACTTCCTTACCTCAAACGCCCTTTACAAGCAAGCTTTTTTACAAAACAGGACTTCTATATCATAATCTTACAGAGGGGTGGCCTTCCAGAGAGGATGTTCGTTCACCTAGGAACGACTGTCTACAAACTCAGTAGCTCTTGGTCAGTCAGTAAAGAGCTGTTTATGGGGCACTGTCCAAGTGACTGTAGAATCCAGCAGCTCATTGCCCAGTTCCAGAGTTAGTCCGAGGGGAACAGAGGCTCCCTGCTCATGAGTGTCTCCTCCTTGCCTTCCTCAGACACCAGGATCCCATATAAACCATTTCCATTTGGTAATAGAATTCTTCTGCGACTGCTCTCCCCATTAGAGCATTTCCAAGATTACTGAAGAACTCATGTGTATTTCAGGTTTCAAGATTATTTTGTCCCTCACTCACAGGGGAGCCTCAGTTAGTGTTCCACTGCAAGCTAGGATGTGCCTCTCAAATGCAAACTTGAGTCTACAGCCCCAGGTCCCGGGAGGTGCTCACAGCCTTTTGCCATTAGCTCCAGTCAGCGCTCCAGGTAGGGCACAGAAAATGTGTCATTAGCTGCCCTCCAGTTTCTAGTCTACATTGTGTGCTCCACCCTCCAGGGCCAAGGGGCCTGAGCTGCTCTGAAGACCTTCCTGCAGGCCCTGGTGGCTCTGGTTAATGCTGTCAGTCTTCCTGAAGCCCTTGTCCTCTCACCCTCTGCCTGGATCTGCACCAACACACATTCCTGACCACACACATTCCTCAGTGCCTGTAGCATGGCATGCATTTCTGGTCCTAACTCAGTGTCTGGGGCCTGGCAGATGCCCAGGGTGCTCCATTGCTCAAATCCAAGCCTGTGGAGAGGATAACATTTCATTCCCAGGTTTCTGGTGAGCTGAAAAACCTTCTTCGTTTCTATAGTGTGATCCTCTTCTATCCACCATGTGTGGGGTCAGGAGCAGACTCACCACCGAGGGTCTAGGAGTTGTGCCATTGACCTTACTGCCTAGGGTCACAAGCTGGCACCCTTCACTACTACACCTTGGGTCTGTCCTCACAGCGGCAGTGTGGTTAACTCATTGGGGAGGTCCAGCCCAAGGTTGGACAGTTGGACCTGGGTAGACACTAGACTTGGGAACAAGCTTTGGAAGCCACTCCCCTGAATCCCCTCTCTCCATGGGGCCTGAATACCAGAGCCCTGAAGGTCTGCCAGGGAGTGTCTGTGCCTTGACCACGCAATGGGTGCCAGGCTGTGGCTAGGGATGCCCCGGGGTTCCTCTCCCTCCTACCTACTCCTCAGCCTCTGCAGGTGCCTGTCATGACCTGTGTGTCCTTCATTCTGCCCACTCATCGATTCACTGGGTCCCTCCTTGGTGCCAGGCACCCACTACTGAGGGGTGCCAAGCCCCTGCCAGAGAAGCTTGGAGCTGGGTGGGAGCAGCAAGGGGGCTGGAGGCAGCGGCAGGAGTGCAGTGGACAGTGAGGCAGCCGTGGGAGGAGGGAGTGGGAGCAGCAGCTGAGTGGACCGAAGTGTTTAGGCCAGGAGGGAGATCAGATTTTAGGAAGAGGAGAGGCAGGCTTACCAGGGAGGGGAGCAGGCTCAGGACGGGCCTCCAGTGCAGCCTCTGACCCTCAGAACCCCGATTACAGCAGCTCAGGGTGAGTCGCCTCCCCTCCTTCCCCTTGTGCTATCCAGGCTGGGCAGGATCCAGAATCAAACCACAATCCCTGGGTTACCGCAGCGGGCCACAACCACCTGTCCCGGGACTGCGGGGAGTGACCATAAGTGACCACGCCCCCGGGGTGTAAACGCTGCGCGTCACTCCCATCACGCAGAGCAAGTGTGGAACGTTCTCCGCGGGCACGAACTACCGGGAGGATTTCCGGACTATTTCTGATTGATTTTAGGGCTTTTGACCCAAAGTTCGGGGGCGAAGAGCCTCCACCCTCCTCCTTCTCATGGAACTTCGTGGACAGAGCTTCCCGGCCGCCTCGACGGCTTCAGCAGGGCGTGACCCAGGACCCAGGACGGCGTGTGGAACCAGGCTATGGCTCCGGGACCCCAGGACCCTTCAGTTCATCTTCGTCGTCGCAGTTCTGCTGCCGGTGAGTCCCGGCCTCGGTCCCTGGCCGGGGAAGAGCGCGCCTGGCGCGGGCCGGACGGGGCAGGGTAAGAGGGGGAGGGGGACGCAGCGGGGATGCCTGACCCTGGTCACCTGCAGCCGGGCGTGTCCGGGCAGGACGAACCCGTCGGTCGGAGTCGGGGGCAGAACTGGGTCCCGGGGCTGGGCTCGAGCGACCCTGCCGCTATGGAAGAGCAGAGCGCGGGGTTACCCTCGTTGTCAGCTGAGGTGAGGATCGAGTTCCAGAATCAATGGAAGGAGGGAGTCAGTATGCAAACTTATGAATGAACCTCTGGAAGCCACAAAGCGGTTGCCTCTTTGGTTACTTAGTTAATAACAAGAACCCTATATTTACATTGTTAAACGCGCTCGGAGATTGATACGACACCCATTGAAAAAGCTTTCCAACGCTTTTTTTTTTTTTTTCTTTTTTTCTTCCCTAAAACAACTTTCATTTCCTCTGACCTGAAAATGTCAGGAAGGGCAGGAAGCTCTTAACCAACGTTTTTGCAGTCAGGGTCTTCCACTCTTACCCGTGTGTCCCCTCTGCCTCCCACAGGTAGGACCCGGGGCTGACCCTTCCTTCAGCATAAACGGTGTAAATAAAGTTGTCCTTGCGAGTTGGCTTTGGAAACAGATTGGCAGTGGTGTGCACAATAGGGACATATTGTAAATAAGATGGGCTGGGCGCAGTGGCTCACGCCTGTAATCCCAGCATTTTGGGAAGCCGAGGTGGGTGGATCACGAGGTCAGGAGTTAAAGACCAGCCTGTCCAAGATGGTGAAACCCCGTCTCAACTGAAAACACAAACATTGGCCGGGCATGGTGGCAGGCGCCTGTAATCTAAGATAACTCGGGAGGCCAAGGCAAGGGAATCCCTTGAAACTGGTAGGCAGAGGTTGCCGTGAGCTGAGATTACGCCATTTGTACTCCAGCCTGGAAGACAACGAGACTGTGTCTCTAAATAAATAAATAAATAAATAAAATTTAAATACATAAATAGGGTGGGCTCAGTGGCTCACGCCTGTAATCCCAGCATTTTGGGAGGCCGAGGAGGGTGGATCACCTGAGGTCGGGAGTTCCAGACCAGCCTGACCAACATGGCGAAACCCTGTCTCTACCAAAAATACAAAAAATTAGCTGGTCATGGTGGCATACGCCTATAATCCCAGCTACATGGGAGGCTGAGGCAGGAGAATTACTTGAACCCAGGAGGTGGAGGTTGCAGTGAGTGACCCAGGACTGTGCGGTTTCCACTCCAGCCTGGGCAACAGACTGAAACTCTGTCTCAAAATAAATAAATAAATAAAATGGTCAGACTTCCAAAACCTTTCCAGAGTCATTGAGATTTTTGCCAACAGCACTTTCTAAGGTTTCTAACAGAAAAAAAAAAAAAAGGTGCGCAGGGGGGAGGGGAGGAGTGGGGCAATTTGCATGTGTTCTTTGAATAAATTAATGCTAAATTCTAAAAAGCAGTATCATTTTCACCTGTCAAAAATTACATAACTAACTTCTAAAATAGTTATAGTGGGTGGACCTTCCTTGAAGGCAGCTCGAGGAATGGCTGTGTCAGGACAGTGGTCCTGAAGAGAGAATGTGTGGGTGACTTCTGTACACAAGGTCAGCAGCCCGAATTTCACAGTTTTGGGAATGTGAGCTCTCTATGTCCCAAAGGAGGCTTTCATCCCTCCGTCAGTCTTGCCTTCATAAATGCATTTCAATGCACAATCGCTTTTAAAAATTTTGGAGCGAACACAATTCACATTAGATGTTCTGTGGCAATACATTCAAATTCATCTTTTTAACAAGGCTTTGTATTTTACCGCATGGGTGAGCCACAGTTTAATTCACTGTTGCCGCCTAGGGGCAGCTGGTGAGATCCCACCCTGACTTTGCCTTTGCTGATTCCAACAGTGTTGTTCTAAATACCCTTGAATGTATCCTGTGTCCACATGTCCATGTGCACCAGCTTACTGGGCACCTCCTTAGAAGTAGAATTTTACGTCTACTTCTGTGGGATAAATGATTTCAGAAGTTTCTGTAGATGTTCACAAATTTTCCTCCAATAGACCACTGAACCCAGCTTACACACCCACCCCTAGTCTACAAACGTGCCTGTGTCCCTGCACCCTGGCTACCCTCAGCTTTCATTCTTTACTAGTCTGAGGAGTAAAACATGATGCATCACATTGTTATGCATTTTCATTCCTTCATGATATTAGGGATTTTCAAGGATACAGGAGGTTTTTGATACTGGGAGTACTTGACCTGGAGACCCCAGATGAGACAGCAGGGGAGGGCGGCAGGGAGACTGAATTCCCAGCTGTGCACTTGGGAAACCGTGGTCAGCTAGGGCCAGTCCCTGCCGCCTGCCATGCCTGTGAATGGAGATAAGGTCTGTGGCCTGAGGCTGTCAGGATGACATCAGATGAGCCTGGAGCTGAGCTCAGTTCCTGACCCAGGTCCTGGCTCTGTCAGTGCTGGTTTAGCCCAATCTCTGGGTCAGGCCCTTCCACATTTCTTAGAAAGAGAGGTCATTCCTCTCTCTCTAAGTAGGAATCCAGAAATTCTGATGGCCCAGAATCCCTGACTCTCAGGCTGTCAAGGACTCCTGGGATGGGAGGCTGAAAACAGCTGGGCCCTGTCATGCTTCCCTCCAGCTCTTTGAGTCTGGTATGGCCCCAGCTACTGCCTGTAAAATGAAGAGGAGATAAAAATCTTCAACAGCCCTGTGTAAACCTCAGAGGGCTGGGTTTGCAGGTGTCGGAGGACAAATCGTATCCTCAGGGCTGGTGTCAGTCACTCTGGACTCTGGATCCTCAGGGCATGTGTCCTCCACTCAGCAGAGGCTGCACCTGCTCCTACCTGCACCTCAGTACTGGCTCCCTGAGCTTGGGGCAGAAGCTTCTGAAGACTGGGGTGGAGTGCCATGGGGAGGGGCCATGGAGGAACAGAGGAGCCAGACTTCAAGTGAGGACAGCAATGGCATTGCAGGGCCACAGCCTGGGTTACCTGCCTCGCCTTCAGTTCTTCTCCTGGGTTGCAGTTTGAAGAGTGAGCAGGAAAAGTCTCCATCCACGTGGCACCAGATGGCTGCTCACCCAGCTTACACAGAAGGGCCACAGTCCCAGTTCTGATCCTCTGTGTCTGTATCCAGGAATGGCAGGGCAGCAAAGCCCTAGCTTCCAGGTTGGAGATGGGGACAGTGGGGACAGTGCCCTGCATCAAGCCTGTGCTGTTGGACAGCTGGTGTCCTGCTCCCAGCCAGAGTCTGCACATCTTCATGTGGTGGATTTTCCCAACGACCCAGGGAAAGGAGGGCTGGTTGTTTTCTCTGTTTTACAAGTGGCAAAAATGAGGTTCAGGAGCAATGTCTCTAGCATTTTTGTCCTCACCTTCTGTATAATAGCAGCCATATTTGTGCCTCTGCAGGGCTAGCGTTCTCTGAGCAGCTGCTTCTCAGCGCAGATCTCTGTCCTGTACTTGGCCCTCTGGGAGCTCCTATGGTTCCTCAGCAGAGTCCATAGGGCTCCTTGGGATCCCCTCCCTGTGCCGCAGCCTGGAGCCTGTCCTTAGGCAGTGACTGAGACCACGACTGCGCTCACCTGCTCACCTCAAGGGCTCTAGGGGAAAGGGATTCACACAGGAAGTGGACAGTGAGAACACCTGTGCCTGGAGTCTGCTGGAGCCAGGGAGGACAAACGAGCCCCATGTGAATCCTGCTCCCTGGAGCCCACAGTGTGGTGGGAGAGGTGACAGCAGGAATCATATCACTAAGAGGAGGTAGCATGAGGGAGGCCTGAGGTCTCAGCACCCTTGCCTCATCTCCTCCAGAGAAGCTGTGCTGGAGGGAGGCCACAGGATGTGGTATTGTTGGCCTAAGGCTGTTGTTTGGTTATAGCCACCATTGGGGGTCCTGGAGGGAAGCTAGCCTCCTCTTTAAGGACTTTTTTTGGCTGAGTCTGAGGATTAAATTGACATAAGACAGGCACACAGGAGAAAAGCACATAGCTTTTTTGTTTTTTTGAGATGGAGTCTTGGTATGTCTCCCTGGCTGGAGAGCAGTGGGACAATCATGGCTCACTGCAACCTCCACCTCCCAGGTTAAAGTGATTTTCCTGCTTCAGTCTCCTGAGTAGCTGGGATTACAGGTGCCTGCCACACGCCTGGCTAATATTAGTATTTTTAGTAGAGATAGGGTTTCACGATGTTGGCCAGGCTGGTCTCGAACTCCTTAGCTTGGGTGTTATGCCCGGCTCAGCCTCCCAAAATGCTGCGATTACATGCATGAGCCACCATGCCCAACCAACACACAGATTTATTTAATGCAAGTTTTACCTGGCACAGAAAAAGCAGTGAGAGTCAGTTACCAAGTAACTTGTGAAGAAGCAAGTAACTATGTGGGAGGCGAAAAAGATAAGAGTGGTTCTATTCTAACAAGGTCTGCACAGGACTCTCTTGGCCTTGACTTCTCATCCTTAAAAGGAGGCTGTTCTCTGTTTCCCTGGGACTTTCATCACCTGCTTTTAGGAAACACAGAAGAGGTCAAAAGGATCTTCTTGCACCTGCTGTTTTTCAATTATCTTTAATTCATAGTAGTCAATGGGCCAGGGTGGTCAGGGTGCGATGCCTCACACCTGTACTCCTGTCAAGGCGGGTGGATCCATTGAGCCCAGGATTTCAAGACCACCCGCAGAAACATAGTGGAACCCTGTCTAAAAAAGCACACACTTACACACACAGACACACACACACACACACAGAGAAAATCATGTCGTGAAAAAATCCAAGCAAAATGCACACCATTTGATTCCTCTTCTTATTAAAATGCAATTAATCTATTACGACAAAAAGCAGAAGAATTATTGCTTGGGATGTAAGAGTCCAGCAGAAGAGAGAATTACACTGAATACTGAAGAAACACTGCAGGGTGGTGGACATGTCATTATCTTCTCACGGTGATAGTTCCACAGTATATACATACATCTCAATCTAGCAAACTACCTACTTCAAGAATGTCCACTTTGTTTCATATTCATTATGCCTCAATCCATTTTTAAAAAATCTTAAATAGAATATAAGCATTTAAGTGTATACTGTATTCTCTATAGCTCTTGCACATAGATCATAGAAATATGTATACATAAAAAGTCAGCATCCAATTAAAATGGGATTCTAAAAGGTAATTAACATTAAAATGTACAGGGGAAAAGGAGCAAAAAAATTCGACTAGACGTAGCTTAAATACAAAACGTACAGGTCTGTCTCAACTATATGGTTGCACTATCTGTAAATCCACTGGACAATACAGTTCAAAGTTAGAAATGGTTGGAAGGGCTGAAGAAACAAGGCTCAACCATATGTTGTCTATACGAGAGGGGACTTGAGGACACAGATGCTGTACGTTGAAAGTAAATAGATGGAAAAAGGTATGTCATGCAAAGTGTAAGGCCAGGAAAACTGCTGTGGCTATGTCAATGTCAGATGAAATTGATTTTGTTAGCAGCAGATGAGATCTGAGTTACTATATGCTGACAGGACCAAATCCATAGGGGTCCACAGCAACTTCAGCTCTTCGCCTCCTCAGAAGAAAGAACTGGACTGAGGGGCATAATGCAGAAGGAGAGACAGAGGCAAGTTTCAGAGCAGGAGTGAAAGTTTATTAAAAAGCTTTAGAACTGGAAGGAAAGAAAAGAAGGAAAGTACAACTTGGAAGATGGCCAAGAAGGTGACTTGAGGAGCCAAGTGAGCAGCCTGACCTGACTTGGGGATTGATAGGCTGGCGCACTTCCGGGATCCTGCCTTATTTCTCCACACTTTTAAAATCTTATTGGGAAGCTGCTGATCACTTTCAGGTGTTTTCTTTGTATTAGCAGACTACCTTTTTCTGGGATCAACAGTAACCAGTTATTACTTTAGAGAAACAGTTAAGGACCACCTGATGTACCCAAAACTGCTGGTGTTAGAAGCTGGGAGCCCTCTCCTGCCCTGCTCATACCTGACTACTGTAGCAATTTTAGGACCGGAATATTATGGGAGATCAAAAGGGACCTTTGTAGTTAAAAAGGTGAATTCTTCAAGGAGTATAATAATAATCACAAACTGTATATGCCTGGTAATACAGCTTAAAAACACATGATGCAAAAATTGAATGAAAAGGAGATTAAATCAGCCTGTTCTCTGCAACTGATAGAATGAGCCGAGAGAACACCGCCAGTTAACTGGCAAGCAATCTGAACACTGTCAACCACCTTGATATAACTGACATTTAAAGAGCAGGAGTAGAACATCCACTGGAGACTCATTTTTTTCTATGCTTATGATACTTTTGCCAAGGTAGACCAGGTTCTGGGCTATAATGCATGCAGTATGATCTCTAAGCCTAATGAAACTAAACTGGAAATCAGTAAGTATCCATAGAGAACTCTAAAGTTCGGTTATTGAACAACACACTTCTAGAAAAAAATCTATGGTTAAGGGAAATCAAAAGGGGAGGAAAATATTTCAAAATAAATAATAAGGACAGTATAACATGAAAACTGGTGGGAAGTGGCTGACAGTGCTGGGGTGAAATAACCAACTTTCAGTGTTCCTATGAGGAACTTGGGTTGGGGAGATGGGAGTTACCACTGAAGGATATGTGGTTCCTTTTTGGAGTGATCAAAATATTCTGAGATTGTTTATAGTGATGATTGCATAGCTGTGAGTATATTAAAAACTACGGAAATGTAGACTTTAAATGGGTGAATTATATGAATAATCATAGTAATTATGTGAATTGTGTCTCATTAAACCTGTCAAAAAAAGAAAAAAATAGAATCTACGGCCTGAAGATGTATATTACTCAATCATAAAATATAAGTGTAAATTTAAACCAAACAGGCCAGGTGCAGTGGTTCACGCCTGTTATCCCATCAGTTTGGGAGGCTGAGGTGGCGGATTACAAGGTCAAGAGATTGAGATCATGGCCAACATGGTAAAAACCCCTCTCTACTAAAAATACTAAAATTAGCTGGGCGTGGTGGCGTGCTTGGGAAGCTGAGGCAGGAGAATTGGTTGAACCTGGGAGGTGCAGGTTGCAGTGAGCTGAGATCATGCCACTGCATTCCCACCTGGTGACAGAGTGAGACTCTGTCTCAAAAAAAAAAAAGTTTAAGCCAAACATAAATCTTGGAAACATAAATGAAGGATATAGAATACAAACTACAAAAAGAATGGAAAAAATGGACTGTGTGTGGTGGCTTATGCCTGTAATCCTGTCATTCCAATACTTTGGGAAGTCTAGGCAGGCAGAACACTTGAGCTCAGGAGTTAGACCAGTCTGGGTAACCTGGCGAAACCCCAGCTATACAAAATATACAAATATTACACGGGCATTGGGGTACATGGCTATCTGTGATCCCAGCCACTTGGGGGCTGAGGTGGGAGGACCACTTGAGCCTGGGAGGCAGAAAAGGCAGAGGTTGTAGTGAGCAGAGATTACCGCTCTGCACTCCAACCTGGATGACAGAGGGAGACCTCATATCAAAGAAAGAAATAATAAAAAAAAGAATTGACAAAATGAAAAGTTGGTCTTCAGAAAGGGGGGCAAAAAACCCAACCTAATAAACACTTTGTTGGATGAGAGGGAGTAAGACTGTGAGAGCAGAGAAAGGAGACACAGACATTGCCTGAACCTAGAGGGAGCCCAGTGGGAGAAGGAAGGATTTGGGAAACATGCCTTAGCTTCACTGTCAACAACTACTTGACAGGCCTTGATGTGGAAGAAGGCTACATTTTGTCTTGTTTAGATCCAGGCAGTTGAGCGGAGCCCAACATAAGTAGCTTTTATTGTAACCTTTTTGTTTTTGCTAAGGAGCAAAATTAGATAAAATGTAATTAGATTTGTTTATAGTTAAATTAATTTTATACTTTAAACGGCTCCCAAGTTAAAGAAAAGTTACAAAAAGTATACAAAAAAAAAAAAACATTTGAATAATAGCTGTTGACATGATGGAGGCTATTATTGAATTGTTTAGTGTGTACTTTCTACAAACAAGGAAATTAACATCTATGCATTACCACTATGCAGACTGTATTCCGATTTCTCCAGTTGTCTTCTAGTTGTCATTTATAACACAGAGATCATGGCCAGAATCCCTGAATTGCTGTTTCATCTTTTTTTGTGACACTTTGATATTTAGTGGGAACAGCTTGTCAAAGCCCTTTGTAAAGCAGAAATTAATTACTTAATCTTTGAGGCTATATCCTGACTTTCTTTAAGGTTATATATAACTGTCATTTGTAAAAATGAGTATGTTTATGTGTGTGTTTGCATGTGTGAGAGAGAGAGACAGAAGTCACCAGCAAGTCAATTAAACACTTGGTCAAACTAAATATATTAGATGCTATTTCTGCTTGAGGGGCTCACATGTAGTTTATTGTTATTATTCTTCTTATAAAATCTTTTCTTGCCAACCACAGTGGTGAGTGCCTGTTACCCAAGTTACTTGGGAGACTGAGGCAGGAGGATCACTAGAGGCCAGAAGTTCCAGGCTGCAGTGGACTCTGATCACACCTGTGAATAGCCGCTGCGTTCCAGCCTGGGCAACATGGCAAGACTCTATCAAAAGAAAAACAGAAATAACTGTTCTTGCTCACATTTTCTGGGGTAAAGGCATTTTGTGTTATAATATGAGGAAAGGATACTGAGGTGTTTTTCTTTATAGAAAATAGCTGCCCTAACAGGCCAAGGGACAGACACACGTGCAAAAGAATGAAATTTTGGAGCTGGAAAAAAGGTCTAAGCTCTGATGGCTTTTGTCACTTGGAGTGAAGCAAATGTGAGACGGAGCCTGGGACAGGTGAGGTCTAGAAGCCACTCACACCTGTCTATGCTTTGTCCCCATAGGTCCAAGTTAACTGTCCCAGCCCCCTGCAGGATCAAGTTCCCCAGCTGACAGTGGCCCCACAGCAACAGAGGCACAGCTTCAAGGAGGAGGAGTGTCCACCAGGTGCACTCTTATTTTTAAAAATATGTTTATTTTATTTGACAGATAAACATTGTATATATTTATGGTATACACCATGATGTTTTGAAATATGTACATATTGTGGAATGCCTAAATCCAGCTAATTTACATACTCATTGTGTATTTGTGGTAAGAACACTTAAAATCTGTTCTTAGCAATTTTCAACTGTACAGATACAGAGCCCTGGGATAAGCCCTGTTTGCCCTTCTTATCTGTGGGTTCTGCATCCAAGGTTGCAACAAACCACAGATCATAAATATGTGGGAGAAAACAATACAAATGATAATCCATCAATAAAAGTAGATAAAAGGCAATGCAGTATAGCACTGATTTACATAGCGTGTCTATTGTATTAGGTATTACAAGTAATCTAGAGATGGTTTAAAGTCTGTGTGCCTGGCTTATACGCAGCACCATCCCAATTTATATCAGGGAGTTGAGTATGTGCAGAGTTTGTGCCATGGAATATATCCCCTGTGAGTAGAAGGAAGGAGTGTACAACACATTGTTTTAATAACTGTAGTCACCATGTCCCACAAGACATCTCTTGAATTTCTCCCCCTAACTGAAATTTTGTATCCTTTGACCAACATCTCCCCAACCCATCATCCAACTCCAGCCCTGGTAATCACCATTCTACTGTCTACCTCTTTGAGATAAACTTTTTCAGATTCCACATGTGTTTGATAGTGAGGTGTTTGTCTTTTGTGCCCGGCTTATTTCATTTAGCATAGTATCCTCCAGGTTCATCCATGCTGTCACAAATGACAGAATTTCCTTCTTTCTTAAGGCCGAATAGTATTGCACTGTGTCTGTGTACTACATTTTCTAGACTTTTTCAAACATCAGTGGACTCTTAGGTTGATTCCCTGTCTTGACCATTGTAACTAATGCTCCAGTGCACATGGGAGGGAAGATGTCTCTTCAACATACTGATGTCATTTCCTTTGGATGTACACCCAGTAGTGTGTACTAATCACCAGGGATTGCTAGATCATATAGTTGTTATGTTTTTCATTTTTTGAGGAACCTTCATCCTGTTTTTCATAATGGCTGTACTAATTTCCGTTCCCACGGAGAGTGTAACCAGCGCTCCTTTTCCTCCCTATCATCGTTATCAACACTTGTTATCTTTTGTCTTTTTGATAGTAGCCATTCTTACAGGTGTGAAGTGATATTTCACTGTGGTTTTGATTTGCATTTCCCTGGTGATTAGTGATGCTGAGCATGTTTTTCATGTATCTGTTGGCTGCTTCTATGTCTCCTTTTGAGAAGGGTCTATCAGGCCTCTTGCCCACGTGTACATCTTAATTGGATTATTTGATTGCCTGCTGTTGAGCTGTTTGAGTTTCTGTGTATTTTGGATATTGACCAAAATCTTGGATCTTTTGGATGTTGATTTCTCATCCTGTAGTTGTTTCTTGACTGTCTTCATTGTTTCCTTTGTTGTGCACAATCTATTTAGTCTGATGTAATCTCATCTATTTCAGCTTTTGTTGCCTGTGATTTTGGGTTCATAACCAAGAAATCATTGCCCAGACCAACGTCATGAAGGTTTTCCCCTATGTCTTCTTCTAGTAGTTTTACAATTTTAGAGCTTATGTTTAATCTTTAGTCCATTTCGAGTTAATTTTTACATATGATGTGAGATAAGGGTCTTATTTCATTCTTCTGCATGTTAACTTCTACTTTTCTCTACATCATATATTGAAGAGACTGTCCTTTCCCATTTTGTGTTCTTGGTATCTTTGTTATAATCAGTACACTGTAAATGCATTGATTTGCATCTGGGTTCACTATTTTCATTCCATCAGTTTATTTATCTCTGTTTATGCCATGACCATTCAGTTTTGATTACTATACCTTTGTAATATATTTTAAAATCAAGGAGTATAATGCCTTCATCTTTGATCTTTTTGTTTGTTTTGCTTAAGACCACTTAGGCTATTTAAGGTCTTTTTTGCTTCCATACAAATTTTAGAATTATTTTCTCTATTTTGGTGAAAAATGTCTTTGGAATTTTAATAGGCATTGCAATGAATTATAGATCACCTTAGGTAGTATGGATGATTAAACAACATTGAGTTTTCTAATCCATGAACATGTACTGTCCATTTATTTGTGTCACTTTCCATTTCTTTCATCAATGTTTTACATTTTTTAAATCTTTCACCACTGTCATAAATGTATATAAGAGTTTTTGCCTTGGCATCCATTTTTAGGCCCAATGTAAGTTGTTTAAAACCCAATCATACCACAGCATCTTTTACCCAATTAATAATTCCTATTCCTGTTTAATTGGTTTTTGATATAGCAATTTGTTCTTCATCTTCCTGACCCCAAACCCAACACATCCCACAGCGGCATAGTGCATATATTGTTTTGCTTCACAGTAACCATTGGTACTGTTGGCTTTCTTCCCTCTTTTTTCATTCTTTATTTTCTTTTTCTTCCTGAGTGTGACTTGGTAACTTCAAATGATCTGTTTTCAAGCTCACTGATTCTTTCTTCTGCTTAATCACCTCTGCTGTTGATATTGTCTGTGGGATTTTTTAGCTCAGATATTTTGTTGTTGATTTTTAGAATTTCTGCTTGGTTCTTTAGTATGGTGTCTGGGTGTATATGAAACTTCTCATTTTGCTCATGTACTGTTTTTCCAACTTCACCTAGTTGTCTATCTGTATTCTCTAGTAGCTGACTGAGCTTCTCTAAGATGCGTATTTTCAATTCTTGGTCAGGCTTTTGTAAATCTCTATTAGTTCAGGGTAGTTACCTGTGCTTTATTTTGTTCCTTTGGTGCTGTCATGGTTCCCTGATTGCTCAGCAGCAGTGACAATGTGTTGGAATGTGTGCTTTGAAGCAGCAGGGACTTAGTCCAGTCTTTACAGACTGGCTTTGTGATGGAACGCCCTTCACCAGGCAGCCTGTTCACAGATTCTGGGCAGGCCATGTGGTGTGGTTCAAGGGTGGTCAGAGGCTGTATCCAGAGAGGTGACTTGAGGCCTGTGTCCATGGGGGCTGAACTGGCACTGGAGTGGGCTTTGAACTTATGTTTGCAGATGTCAGCCAGGTGCTGTGATGGGTTCCATCACTAGCTCCACAGGGAAGGGCCTGGAGCGTGAGTTCATGGGGTCTGACCTGGCACTAGGGCAGACCTGGAGACAGAGTCTGTGGAGGTGGGCCAGGATGCTGGGTCTACAGTGCTAGCTGGAAGGCACAATCTAAGACTGATAACACATCTTATCCTGCCCTTGTCTCTGTGTGCATCCAGACTTCTGTTTCCTGCACTCTCTTGTTTTTTATTCCATAGGGATAGGTTGGATGATTTCTGTGAGTTAGGCACCATGCTAATGGTGGTTATAAGAGGTCCTGTCTTCATGGAACCTTTTTTCTGGGGTAGTATTATGACACACAAATCAACATAACAATTAGAAATTCCAGATACGAACCATGAAGAATAATTAAGTGATGGGTGAGACAGAGACGAGGTTGGTAGGGCCTCTCAGGGATGGTATTGTTGGTCAATATCCAAAGTTGGACAGAGCTAGCATTGCAGAGAGCCAGAAATAGTGCTCCTGAGCAGCACCCCCAGGAATGAGAGGCCCAGGGTGCAGGGGCTGGGGGATACTGAGCAAAGACAGGGCCACTGTAGTGAGTGGACAGCAGACAGGTCAGGTGGGCCAGCATGGATGACATGTAGAAGAGGTTGGATTTTATTTTGTTATTTTATTTTATTTATTAAAAAAGAAGTAAACTGGAGGTAGCATGGTGGCTCGTGCCTGTAATCCCAGCACTTTGGGAAGCCAAGGTTCATGGCTCACCTGAGGTCAGGCGTTTGAGACCAGCCTGGCCAGTACGGTGAAACACTGTGTCTAGTAAAAATACAAAAAGTTAGCCAGGCGTGGTGGTGGGTGCCTATACCCACTTGGGAGGCAGAGGCAGGAAAATCACTTGAACCTGAGAGGTAGAGGTTGCAGTGAGCCGAGATTGTGCCACTGCACTCCAGCCTGGGCAATAAGAATGAAACTTCATCTTAAAAAAAAGTAAAATACTTCAAAGATTTATATTGATTACATATTGAAAGGTAGTGTTTTGGATATTTTAGGTTCAGAATAGATTGTTAAAATTAACTTGACCTCATTCTTTTTACTATTTTAATATGGTTCTCATGGAATTTGAACTTCCATGGAATTTGAATTTCTAATATAGTTTGTATTATATTTCTTTCAGCAATGCCAGTCAAAGGTATGTAATAGATACAGAATTAATGAGAAGACCACGCCTGGAAGAGTAGATTTCCTTGTCTGGATTCCACTGAGGGCAAAAAGAGGAGTTTCCCAGCCACTGTCAGCCTCTGGGAATTCTGTGGCAACTCATTCACTGGCTTTTCTCTCCCTTCCCAGGATCTCATAGATCAGAATATACTGGAGCCTGTGTCGGGTGCACAGAGGGTGTGGATTATGCCAATGTCTCCAACAATTTGCCTGCCTGCCTCCCATGTACAGTTTGTAAATCAGGTACAGAATGTTTGGACCCCTTGCCCAGAGGTGGCGTGCAGAGTGATGAGGTGGGAGTTGTAGCCGATGTGAGTCAGGGAACCAAGTTCCAGCCCAGCTTGGTGTTCATCATACCCTGTTCTGTGATTATCACTTTGGTTGATGGGAAAAAAATAGAAATCTTTTTTATAATGCATGCCACCTGGCTGGGAAATCTTCTAAACTACTGGCTGCAAGGGGGTGGGGGCATGATTACAGCACAGAGAAGTCCTGGCTGAGTGGACAGGACTGGGTGTCAGTGTTGGCATGCATCTTCTCTGGGACCAGGCTCTCTCCCCAGGCTCTGGGCTCCTGGCAGGTGCTCAGCCTCACTTAGCCTTCAGCTTCTCAGGCCTCTCCCTCTTCCCCAGCAAGGCCAGGCTTTTGAGAAGTCGCCCAAGGGCTCCTCTCCTTGCAGAGTCTCTCAGGTGATGCCCTTGTGCCTCCCTTGCTACTGACCATGCAGTCTAAACGATGCTATTCCCCTAATCTGATGTAATAATCATGGTCCTTTTGTATGAATCTGAGTTTTGGTGACAGCTGAAGGGTGGGTGTCCTGTATGAGCCCCGAGTGTGCTGGTGTAGAACCGGCCCTCAGAACTCCTTGGCAAACTGAGTTGAGCAGAGTGGGAAGGCGTTGGGATGGTGAGGAAGGGTCAAGGGACATGTCAGAGAAACTCAATGCCAAAACCTTGTGCTCTGTCATCAGATGAAGAAGAGCTAAGTCCCTGCACCACAACCAGAGACACAGAGTGTCAGTGCAAGCCAGGAACTTTCCGGAATGACAATTCCACTGAGATATGCCGGAAATGCCACACTGGGTGAGATAGCAGCCAAGGGCTCCTGACAGCTTTCAGGAACCTGAGAAGACCCAAGTCACCTGGTACCCCTATCTCTCCCCAACCCCATGGAGCCTCCATCCCCATGAGGCATCCCTGAGCCTGTGGGGTTTCCTCAGCCTGCAGTGGCCCTTCCTGGTCCATCTTCCTTTTCTCACCCTTGCCCCCTGCAGCAGCTCCTTCCCCGCCCCTCCCCAGCACGAGTCCCTTTGGCCAGGCTGAAGTGTTCACTGGGCACGAGAGGCAAATTTCCAGGTCCCTTGATACTTTTCAGGGGATCTAGGAAATGTGATTTCCTTTAGAAATCAGAAGAAAACACTTGAATCCAGCCTGGTTTGTATTTGTCCTTATTCCAAATTCACTTAAAAGAATGCAATTTTTAGTATTTTCTATGCAGACAGGGACCCATAAAGACAAAAGTGCCCCCATCCCATGAGAGTCATAGTAAGGCCATGGGCGGAGCTCTCTTAAGTTCCCACGAGGAGCTGAGCCCACCCAGCTGGCCTTGCCCCTGGCCCCTGATTTCTCAATAAGTCCTTCTTTTTCCTATTTGGTTTTTAAGGGCCAAGAGTAATTTGCTCTTCTCTGGCCCTCCAGTGTTTGCTGTGACTGGGAGGAACCAGCAGACAGGGAGGGGCGAGGGCTCACTTGTATTATGGGTTAACTGGAGGATAGGGCTCAGCTGGTGGTTACATGGGACTGTGATCTTCCCCTGAGTGTGGCTCCTCCTAACGCAGGCCTCCCCTGCAGCCCAGGGAAGCTCAGTGTGTGCCCTACACAGAAGGCTCCAGGAGCTGCAGCTCTTACCCCAGAGCAGGGAGACCAAGGGGCTGAAGTGCGTATGCTCTGACCCTTTCCCAGCCTTGACCAGGGAGCATGGGGGGCCCTGCAGAAACGAGGAGCCTGTCCTTCTCCTGACACCTTCTCAGGGACATTGGGCAGGGATGGTGACTCCTCTTTTATCCCACCTGGCCAGCTTCCCCTCAAGAGTCCCCTCTGCCTCCCTGTGTGTACCCAGGTGCCCCAGAGGGATGATCAAGGTCAGGGATTGTACATACTGGAGTGAAATCAAGTGCATTGATGAATCAGCTGCGGAGGAGACAGTGACCACCAGCCCGGGGACTCCTGCCTCTGTGTCTGACATCGTACAGATTGTCACAGGGGTCATATTTTTTGTGGCTGTGGTTGTGTTTGTTTACATGATTTTATTTTGGAAGAAACTCATTTCTTTCCCAAAACTCATCTGCTCAGGTAGGTGCTGGCTAAGGGCGGGACACTGGGCACTCTCTGCCCTGCCCTCTCCCTCTTGGTTCCCATAGACAGAAATGCCTTTCCCTGCCCCTAGTCTAAGTGTCTCCAGCCTGGCTCCATTTTCCTCCTTGTGATCACCCTGTCCCCACATCCTTTACACCCCCCCAGGACCCTGGTCTCATCAGTCCTCTCCCAGGGCTAGGGGTCCCCTCATCTCCCAGCCAAGTCCGGGAGGGCAGCGCCAGTTCCTCCCATGTTCAGGCCCAGCCAGGCAGGGGGCAGTCAGCTTCTCAACTAGGTGACAAGGGTTAGGATGAGAAGTGGTCAGGAAATTTATTCAGCCTTCATCAGAGCAGAAAACAGATTTTCCACATTTGTTTTTACGCTAATTCCCCTTCTATTCCACTACCTCAGGGTGTCCCTGAATTGCAAGGTCCTATTCCTGCCCCAGGCCTAGGGCTCCTTGTCCAGTGTCCAGCCCCCAGCCTGCCCCTGCCCCCGACTGCCCTCTGGGAGGGTGGTACCGCATGGCCCCTCCCCACCTGCTAAGGAGACTCCTTCTCTTCCAGGTGGTGGAGGAAACCCCAAATGTGTTCACAGAGTAAGTTGGTTTCTCCAGAAATTGGGAGATCATGGGTTCAGGAACAGTTTCCCATCCACTGCAGAGCCCAGGTGGGCACAATCCCTTGTTCTCATGTTGGCCCTGACTCTCTGACATGGCCTGGGGGTTCTGGGCTGACTGTGGGGGACACATGGTCGTTCTGAGAACCACAAAGATGGGTGGGCCGTGCTGTAGTCCTGTCCTTCCTGCAGCCTGGGTGACACCCTCACCCATAGCCTGCACCCTGGGGATGGGGTGACCACTTGCCCTGCCTCAGCAGTAGGTCCTGAATGTGCTGAGCCTCAGCTGCCTGGGGTGACCTCATTGGAAGGGGTTGGGGATGGCAGGTCTAGCTGTTTACTGGGGACCCTGAACCTGAATGCTGGGTGTGAACTTAAGTGGGTGGTTTGCCTTCCCAAGGTCTTTTTCTGGCGTTTATGTCCCTCACGAGGTTCCAGGGCTGAGGACAATGGCTACGAGACCCTGAGAAATATAGATTCACAGCCCACCCATGTCCCCGAGCAAGAAATCAAAGATCAGGAGCTTACAGAGCCAATGGGTGTGACTGTACAGTTGCCAGAGGAGCCATAGCATCTGCTGGTGAGTTGAGGATGGACTGTGCCATGCCTGGCCTGCTGCCTGCACAGAACTTTGTAGGCAGTGGGAGAGGGCAGTGCCTCTGCTCTCCTGGCCCAGGTAGTGGGCATAGTGCTAGTAGTGTCCAGTGTCTATTATTGCCATCTTTATCTTCATGAGTACCTGATGTTCAGCTCCCTCTTAAGTGACAACATTGCAGTATTTGGTTTTGCATTCCTACATTAATTCGCTTGGGATGATGACCTCCAGCTCCATCCATTTGGCTGCAAACAACATGATTTTATTCTTTTTTATGGCTGTGTAGTATTCCATGGTGTATATATGCCACATTTTCTTTATCCAGTACACTGTTGATGGGAACCTAGGTTGAATCCGTGTCATTGCTATGATAGATAGTGGTGTCTTTGGTAGAATGATTTGTTTTGTCTTCTGTATGTGGTGGGTTTGCTGGGTTAAAGAGCAGTTGCTTTAAAATTCTTTGAGAAATCTCCAAACTCCTTTCCATAGTGGCTGAACTAATTTACATTCCCACCAGAAGTATGAAAATGTTCCTTTTTCTTCATAACCTCACCAGTATTTGTTGTTACTGGCTTTTGAATAATTGCCATCCTGACTATGTGAGATGATATCTCATTGTAGTTTTGATTTGCATTTCTCTGGTAATTCATGATGATGAGCATCTTTTCATGTGTGTTGGCAACTTGTATGGATTCTTTTAAAGACAAACAAATTATGTCTTTTGCCCATTTTTAATTGGGTTGCTTTTTGTGTGTTTAATTAAGTTGCATATAATTCCTGAATATTAGACCCTTGTCAGATGCATGATTTGAAAATACTTTCTCCCATTCTGTAGGTTGTCTGTTTACTCTGTTGATATTTTCTTTCTTTCTTTCTTTCTTTCTTTCTTTCTTTCTTTCTTTCTTTCTTTCTTTCTTTCTTTCTTTCTTTCCTTCTTTCTTTCTTTCCTTTCTTTCTTCTTTCTTTCTTTCTTTCTCTCTCTCTCTCTCTCTGTTTTTCTTTTTTCTTTCTTTTTTGAGATGGAGTCTCTCTCTGTCACCAAGCTGAAGTGCAGTGGTGCAATCTTGGCTTACTGAAACTACTGCTTCCTGGGTTCAAATGATTCTCCTGCCTCAGCCTCCCGAGTAGATAGGACTACATGCATGCCACCATGCCCAGCTGTTTTGTATTTTTAGTAGAGATGAAGCTTCACCATATTGGCCAGGATGATCTCGATTCCTTGACCTTGTGATCTGCCCATTTTGGCCTCCCAAAGTGTTGGGATTACAATTGCAAGCCACCGCGCCTGACTCTGTTTTTTTTTTTTTTTTAATTTTTATTTTTTGATAGAGGGTCTTCCTTGTAACCCAGGCTGGGGTATAGTGGCATGATCTTGGCTCACTGCAACTTCTACCTCCCAGGTTCAAGTGATTCTCCTGCCTCAGCCTCTGTGGAATTTGGGATTGCAGGCATGCACCACCATGCCCGGCGAATTTTTGTAATTTTAGTGAGATGGGGTTTCATTATGTTGGCCATGCTGGTCTCGAACTCCTGATCTCAGGTGATTTGCCTGCCTTGGCCTCCCAAAGTGAGCCACCGTGCCCAGCCTGTTGATAGTTGATTTTTGGTGATAGTTTCTTTTGCTGTGCAGAAGGTTTTTAGTTTAATTACGTCTCACTTGACAATTTTTGGTTTTGTTCCATTGCTTTTGAGGACTTAATCATAAATTCTTTGCCATGGCTGATGCCCAGAAGGGTGTTTTCTAGGTTTTCTGCTAGGATTCTTATAGTTCGTGGTCTTGCTTTTAAACCTTTAATCCACCTTAAGTTAATTTGCGTATATGGTGAAAAGTAGGAGTGTAGTTTTCATTCTTCTGCATGTGGCTAGCCAAATATCCCAGCATTATCTGTTGAATAGGGAGTTGTATTAGTCCATTTTCGTATTGCTATGAAAAAAGACCCAAGACTGGGTAATTTATAAAGAAAAAGAGGTTTAATGGACTCAGTTTTATATGGCTAGGAAGCCTAACAATCGTTAAGGTGAAGGATGAGCAAAAGTACATCTTACATGGCGGCAGGCAAGAGAGCATGTGCAGGGGAACTGCTCAGTATAAAACCATCAGATCTTGTGGGTCATATTAACTATCACAAGAACAGGACAGGAAGAACTCATCCATGTGATTCAATTACTTCCCACATTTTTTCAATTCACTTTCAAATTAAAAATTAATCTAGAGGCTGGGTGCAGTGGCTCATGCCTTTAATCCCAGCACTTTGGGATGCCCAGGTGGGTGGATCATGAGGTCAGGAGATCAAGGCCATCCTGGCTAACTGGGTGAAACCCCGTCTCTACTAAAAATACAAAAAATTAGACGGGCATGGTGGCACATGACTGTAGGCCCAGCTACTCTGGAGGATGACACAGGAGAATCTCAGGAGACTAGGAGGTGGAGGTTTTAGGGAGCCGAGGTCACATCTCTGCACTCCAGCCTGAATGACAGAGTGAGACCCCATCTAAAAAAAAAAATAATAACTTATAAATATTCCATATTTCCTTATCAAAGAAGATAGAATTGGTAGGTAAGTATTTTGTTGTAACTGGTTTGTGATTCATGTTACTCTTCAAACAAGTTATTCCTGTTTCTTCTCATGGCTGTTGAGTATTTTGTATCCATTATGAGTTGGAAAGCCCTGTCATTCTATTAGAAACTTATTGCATCTGCTATGTTTTTTATATTTTGATATTGTAGCTTCATTCTTAGGGATTTTAAATGCCATTGAAAATGATGATTATTGTGTCTGCCCCCTTCCATGAGTCTTGCCTCATTTTTGTTTCCCATCTTGTTGCCTAGACCATATCTTTCATAACAATGTTCAGTTGTGCTTAGGAAGGCAGGGTTTGGGTCCTGATTTGATTTCTGGGGAAGGCCTCCAACATGTCACCCTTAGGAATGGCGTTCACTTTTGGTTTTATATAGAAATCTCCTCATCAGGAATGCAGCCTCCTATTCGAAAAGGTTTAGAAAAAAATCAGAATTGGTGTCTAATTTTACCAAATGTCTTTCCAGCCTCCATAGAGACTGATGTTTTACTTAATTACCCTATTGATCTGGTACAGTATTAATGATCCAAGATCATTTACAGTCTTGGAGTAAATCATTTTGTTAAGTTTTCCTGGGTGCCCTCATATATAGTCCTCTGCTGAGACTTCTGCTGGTAAAAATTCTGTAAGGAAGTGATCATTTCCTGTGAAGGTGGGTGGGAGTTGATTGATTCTGGCGTGGTGGGAATGTTCTATGTCTTGATCAGGGGATGATTACACCAGTGTATACAGTAGTCAGAGCTGGGCAGAACACTTACATAGTGAGCATTTACTGCATGTCACTTATGTCTCAATGAGCCACTGTCACATAGAGCCTGAGAGCTGTGGAGAACTAGAGGATTTTCTCCATCTCCATGGAGACCCAAGAGGGAAAGTGCTGCAGGTGTCAGGGCTGGCTGGTGGTCGGGGTCAGTACTGGACTGCAGGGCTCCTGACTGATCACAGCCTTCCCCACTGTGTGTTATAGGGACAGGCAGAAGCCGAAGGATGTCAGAGGAGGAGGCTGCAGGTTCCAGTGAATGATGCTGACCCCATGGAAAGTAAGTGTTTTGTGCCTGGAGACGCAGCAGGAGGGCAGGGAATAGGGACAGTGTCCTACCTGCTGTCCCCATAGCTGAGAGAGTTCTTCTGGAGCATTCACTGCTGGAAGTGCAGGGTCCTATGCCGATCCTAGGCTGATTGTCCCTGGAGCATCAAGACCCTCAGTATCCTCTTCTCTCTTCTCAGTCAACACCTTGCTGGATGCCTTGGGGACACCGGAAGAAGGACACATGAAGGAAACAATTCAGGACCAACTGGTAGCTCCGAAAAGCTTCTCTGTGAAGAAGGTGATGCAGGCTCTCCTACGTCCTGCCTGTTAAAACATCTCTTCAGGAAACCAGAGCTTCCCTGGTTTACCTTTTCACTTAGAAAGGGAAGAAGCCTGGAAGAAACAGTCCATTGCTTGACCCATGGCTCAACAAACTCTACTACGCAATATGGTGCAGCTTACCTGAGGTCTTACAACTTCGTCAATGCACTTGTAGTAATTTTTATACAATATTGTGTGTGATAAGCAAACTGTGGGAATTTATGTAAGATTCTTTGTGGCACAGCGTTATATGATTGTGTTTTAAGGGCGGTTTTAGGCCAGGTGCCTTGACTCACACCTGTAATCCTATCACTTTGGGAGGCTGAGGCAGGTGAATTACTTGAGCTCAGGAGTTTGAGACTAGCCTGGGCAACATGGTGAAACTCCGTCTCAAAAAGAAAAAAAAAATGGTTTTAGAATGTCATTACTTTCAGTTCTTCATCATGAGACAAGTCTTTTTTCCTGTTTCTTATATTGTGAGCTCCATCCCTGCTGGTATGTGCATTATTTCCATCTGTCTACAGATGCTACACAGCCACAATGGTTTGCCTTACAGTTTTTTAACTTTAGAACTGAATGATCTGGCTATTACCTGCATTTTCGGTTTAGGATACTTTTGACTTAATGATGAGATTATCAAGTCAAAGCCCCATGCTAGTCATGAGCATATGCACTTAAGAGGGTTTGACTTAGAATTTTGAGCTTTAAGATAGGATTATTGGGGCTTACCTCCCTGAAGTAGAGAAACATTTGTATTGCTTAGTATTTATATCATGTACATCTTTCATTTTCTGATTTTTTTATAATGATGTAAGCATGGAAAAACTCTAGGAAATGCACTTATTAGGCTGTTTATCTGGGTTTCTGGATGTAAACCAGCAGTCAAAAATGACTGGAAATATAAGTAGCGATGGAGGGAGAAATCCTCCCTCTGTGGGAGGCAGTGACTGCATTCCATATCTCATCCCACGCCCTGTGATTGGACCAGGGTTTGATGGCTGGCAACTTCTCAAGGGGCCAGGCTGTCTTACTTGATAATTTTAGAGGTATATAGCAGTATTTATTTATAAATATTTTTTAAACATGTATTTATTTATAAGTACATGTTTACATATGCCCAGGATTTTGGAGATTGTGGGATCTATGGGAAGCCATGTGTCTGGTCGGTCCTGCTGGGACAGGCACAAGACTGCATCTTCCTGCTTGTCCACAGCAGATAAGGATAGTGAGATCTGAGACTGTGAATAGCTTTTCTGTCAAGTGCCCTTACAGCTGAACATGAGTGAATTTTGGGCGTCCTTTGGGCTCAGGGCAGAATGGGTGTTCATCTGCCCCAGCATCCTTCATGGCATTAAGGGGGAAGTGTGGATGGTGATTGGGAATGCTGTGAAATGGTTGCTGACTCAGGAGTGGATGGCCCCTCTCGCTTCTGGTGCTCTGTGACCCTGAGCCCCTGAGCAGCGTTTTAGGATATGGATTTCCTGTTTGAGGTGCTTGGCCCCTCTGTAAGCATCTGACTCAATTCAGAAATATCAACTCTTAAACACTGGGACAGCGGGACCTAGAATGGCTGACGCATTAATGCTTTGTTCTTGTGTCACATTCTACTATTTTACCTAAAAGCCTCAGTCATCATGTTAGCCTCTTTCCAGCAAACTCTTCTCCACAGTAGTGCATTGGTGGTAGGATAATTTACGGTTGTAGTCATTCTAGGAGTTTCCATGTTTTCCATCTCCAGGCATTGCATGTTGTCTTGTTCCGGGACTGGTTTGGCTGGGACAGTTAGAATTCCCTGAAGAATCCAGCACATTCAGAGTGTTGTGTCCATTAATCTTTGGGAGGGGGTGGCCTTTCTGGTCTTGGCACTTCCGTCCTCTCCCACTTCCATCTGGCATCCCACGTGTTGTCCCCTGCATTTCTGGAAGGCACAGGGTGCTGCTGCCTCCTGGTCTTTGCCTTTCCTAGGCCTTTGGTGCAGGACACTCGGCCTCAGAGCTCAGAGGGAGCCAGTCTGGTCCCAGCTCCCTTGTCCCTTCTGCAGAGGCCTTCCTTGAAGATGTATTTAGAATATCAGCCTTATCAGTGTTGGTTAAGCTTATTCTTTTAAAGTAAGCTTCCTGACAACATGAAATTGTTGGGAGTTTTTAGTGTTAATTTGTTTGTTTTGGTTTGCTTTATACCCAGTCCAAATAGCACGTAAACACCTGGTTATATATGAAAAGCTCATATGTTCATGAATTTTGTCCAAAATAAACATGAAAGCTTATATAAAAAGAGGTGCGGTATTTATTTCCATCCTTCCCTCTTCCTGTGAAAGAGCTTTGAGTGACAGGAGTCCAGGGCTTCATTCCTGCTAGGACTCCTTACTTGTCCCTTCTCTGCCTTCAGGCTTGGCCTGCCTGGTGGAGGGTGGGTTGGGAGGTAGTTTCCTGCCCATGACTCCTTGGATTTTAAGGTGTCATGTGCTCACACCCCCTCCCTGTCTCTCTCCTGTCTGCTCCTCCCTCTGGGGAGAGGGACACCAGCTCTTCCCTGCATCCATATCAGTAGACTCAGGTGGCTCGGTCCTGCAGGCACCTCAGAGACCCATTTTCTGCTGCCCTTGCCCTGAAGGACCCACTCTCCATCTCACCCACAGCTCCAGGAGGCCAGGTGTGCCCCATACTGACTCCTGTTCTCTAGGCCAGTGCCCCTTTCCCAGACCTTTGACTCCAGTCTGGTCCACTCCCAACACACAGCATCACGTGCTGCTCTGAAGGTGAGGAAGGGAGTCTGCAGTCCCAAGATGGGCTTAGAGCCCAGAGTCTGTGTATGCATTTGAAAATCAGTCTTGGACAACTTTTGCGACCAATGTCATAGGGTGGCTTCCTGAAAGAAATAGAATTACTGTGCTAATGTGCAGAGGCATGTTTTTCTGCACACACACACTCACTCTTGTGTACATCACATTCACATGCACAGTTTTGGTTCCAGCAGCACTTCATTAATCTTGATCTGATGTGCTTGGTCTTTTGTTTTCTCTGACAAGGAAGACATTAATTAAGTTAAATACGCATTTTCTTATTTTTGGACTTAGGTTTCACATGTTTATTAGCTGTTTGATTCTCTCTTCAAACTGATGGTTTACAACTTGCATTTGCCTATTGAGACATGCGTCCTGCCCATGCACTTTCTCAAATGCACATCATAGGTTCCTGCTTTCTTGTTTGCCTTTTTGTTTGGCCAAATGTTTTCATATGCAAAATTATTAAGGTTAAGAAATTTAATCTATTGACATATTCATTTTGTCATTGATTATAGTCTTATAAAAGGTACCTCCTGGACAAAAGGTAATGTACAATTCTTTAGTTTTTTGTTTTGTTTTTGAGACAGGAGGTCACTCTGTCACCCAGGCTGGAGCTCAGGGCTCACTGCAGCCTCCACCTCCTGAGCTCAAGCTTCCTGCTCTGTCAATGTGGAAAACAAGGAGATACCTGATGTTCAGAAAAAGGAAAACAAGTAACTTAGTACTTTAACAGAATATATGCAGTCAGCCAAAGGGAAATGACAATAAAAAGTAAGGAATATTTGTATGAAGCGAGGAGTAGAGATAATAGCTGCTGTATTTCTGAGGAGGGAGAGACCTTTGGGATGAAACGGAGGAGGGAATATAGGCTGAGGTAATTGTAATAAGGAAGGTGAAGATGAAAGGGATTGGTCACTTCAGAGTGAGACCTGTGTCCTAAGGAATTTGGCAACAAGCAGATGTCCATAGAATAAACCATAAACGACTAGCCTAGTTTGACTATCCATTGGGGAGAAGGTCTTCAAGTAAAAGAGAAGTAAAACATCTGGTTGGAGAGACTGGAAGACCATGTCGTATAGGACAGGTCAAACCATGTAGGGCCTTAAACATCAGAGTGGAAGTGCAGGCTTTATGACATCGTTATACAAGCACTCATAAGGTCTTAGAAAGGGGTAATGCACGGAGGAGTCTTATGCTGTCCTTCCATTTGTTGCTACCTTCAGTCAAGAAACCATTCTTAATACTCCTTAAATTAGAGCTATAATCACTAGGCAAGCATTTGCTGCAGGGAGGGAGAGGTGATTGACATGTTTGTGGGGTTTCCATCTGAATTTGTAATTATTCTATTTTATTTCTTGAGCAAGATGATGTAAGCATTAAAGTACCCTATATGGTGGTACTTTGTGGTACATCTAAAATATTTACACCTGAAAATGAAAAATAGAAAAAAAAGGAGGAAGAAAAGGAGGGTGAAGGGAAGTAGAGGAGAAAGGAAAGAAAAAGGGAAAGGAATAAGGAGAAAGGAAAGGAGAAAGGGAAAGAAAGGATAAAGGAAGGGGAAAAGGAAAGGGAAAGGAGGGAGGAAGAAACATGGCCAGCCAGCCACCCTACTGTGTAGACAGTTCACAGGATATTTCAGAATCTACCCTTTTTTCCAATAGGCATCTGGACCTGTGCAGTTACCACCTCGATGGACCTCCTGCAATAAACCGTGTGAAGGACAAGGGAGGCTATGGGATGATGCCTATGAGGCCTCCCCCTGGGAATGTGGGCACAGCATTCAGAGAAGACAATTAAAACCTTTAAGAGCTCAGTATTCCATTTCTGCCAGGGGCTGCTCTTGAATTCACTCTCAAATATGAAGCGCACCAGAAATATCTTATCATGTCCATTTTATCATAGGAAAACTGAGGAACAGGGCCACATTCTGCCCCAGGTAGTAAAGAAGACAGCAATGGTGCCCCCCACCTCACTGCCTGCATGTAAAACGCCCACCATATGGAATGTCATTAAATGTTTTAAATTTCTTTTAGTTTACTGACAACGTCCAATGTGTTGAGATTGGACAAGTAGTAATCTTTTAGTGTATTTTCTGAATAGATGGCTGGAATCGTGGTAAGCGGCATTTAGCCCACCGGTCCTGAAAGTCCAGTTTCTTTGACTACTCTGATTTGGACTTTACCATCTCTCAGCCTGAGCCTGTTGCTCAGCTTTCCTCCTTATCCTCCAGCCCTGCAGGTTGCCTCACCCTCTCACTGCAGAATCACTGTAAAGGTCTGCGCTAGGACAGCTGTTCCCCTCCTTCAGTGTTGAACCCATGCCTGCCTGTCCAGCACACAGGATGCCAGACCCACCCAATTAGTGTGATACTGGCTGAGGATCACTGCCCAACACCCACAATCCTGCTCATGAACCAGGCTCATGACATGAGCAGTTTGGGACATGTGAGAACATCCCAGAAATATCCAGGCCCAGTAGAGACATTGGCAGATAAAATGGAAAGACATTGGCAGATAGAAAGATACAGGGAGCTCTGAGAGGTGGAATGGACAGGACTGGTAATGATTTGGTCCTGACAGGCAAGGGACATGGGGCAGTCTCACCAGGGGGACTTAGTCACGTGTTTCTGAACCTAGTGAGAATTGTCCCAACCTCAATGGTATCCCCAGATTATAAAATCCAGGCCCTGTGGCCATTCAGAGAATGGTGAAGATAAAATAGGTCTTGAGTTACTCATTTATAAAATAAAGTATTTGCACTATATAATCATAGCCTGGTCACATTCTTTTTCCTGAATTCTATTATATTTGGGAGAGGTAAAGCTGTTTGCCCTTTCATAGGGATAACTTTGAGGAGTTCAAGACTTCAGGGCTGGAAATAACTGCAGATGTGGTGGACATAGCAAGAGAACTAGAAGGGGAACCTGAAGATGTGAGTAAATTGCTGTAACCTCATGATAAATCTTGAACTTTGAGGAGTTACTTCTTATGAATGAACACAGAAGGTGATTTCTTGTAACTAAATCTACTCCTGGTGAAGACGCTGTGAATACTGGTAAAATGACAAAGGATGTAGACTCTTACATAAACTTAGTTGATAAAACAACTGCAGGGTTTGAGAGAATTGGCTCCAATTTTAAAGAAGTTCTTCTGTGGATAGAATGCTATTATCAAAGAGCATCACACGGTACAGAGAGAAATCTTTTGTGAAATGAAGAGACCACTGATCAGCCAACTTCATTGTCTTACTTTGAGCAATTGCCACAGCCACCTCAGCCTTCAGTAGCCACCACCCTGATCAGTCAGCAGCCGTCAACAGTGAGGCAAGACCCTCTTACCAGCAAAAAAGGTTAATGAGGAGTCCTAATTAGACAAAAGAAGTCAGGCTGTCAGGAGCAGGGGACAGCAAAAAGCAGCAGCAGATGAATTACAAGTCTGCCTTTCTTCAAGGTCCAGGACACACAGTCCTCCTGTGCAAATAACTCACGATCATCCTGCACCCAGCTATCCCCAGACCCTCGGCTGATAGGAAGAATGCAAGTTAGGGCATCACAACTTTGGCATTATCTTACTGCACATAGCAGTCTGCGGCCCAAGAACTAACCTATAGAATCTCCAGCAGGCCTTTGTTTCCTTGCAGACGCTCTTCGCTTGCTGGCTGCCCATTGCTCTCTTGCAATGTATTTTCATACTTTCCCTAATAAATCTGTCTTTTTCTACCTAGAACTGTCTTAGCAAATTATTTTACCCCCATGCCACTGGCACAGATAGTCATCACTCCCCCAAGACACTTACGATGTGCTGGAGGCTCAGGTGATCATTAGCACTTTTTAACAATAAAATATTTTAAAATTAAGCTATGCATATCCCCCCGCCGCCCCCCGCCTTCCTTTTTTTTTTTTTTTTTTTTTTTTGAGATGAAGTCTTGCCTTGTTGCCTAGCCTTGAGTGCAGTGGCGTAATCTCGGCTCACTGCAACCTCCACCTCCCGGGTTTAAGCGATTCTCCTGCCTCAGCCAACCGAGTAGCTGGGATTACAGGTGCGTGCCACCAGGCCCGACTAATTTTTATAATAATGAAAGAAAGTATCATTTGCCGAAAGCCCTACCCATAACAAGCCTCTTCTGCGTTTGGCTCTGTTCACCGGCCCTTCGTTTACTTCCTAAACCGACCCTTTTGTTAACTTTCAGTGAAGAGGTAGTTTTAATAAATATATTCTCCAGAAATCTACAAACTTTTCCATGGGTCAGGGTGAGAGGTCCCACCACGATGTAGAAAGAACAGCTGAGTCCTGCGGGTAAGCGCCAGATCCGATCTGCACAGACCACGTGGGTGGGAGGCACGGAGTCAGAGGCACTTCCTCAATATGAATCACCTGTCTCTGGTGGCTCACACAGGCCCCAGGGCCCCATGGACAGGGCTGCTCCCAGCGTCTGCACGCCACTTCCTGGGCTTGTGGGGGTGGTACGCCAGAGGCTGCCTGCAGCAGAAAGCCCACGCAGAGGCCAAGGCCTCTTGTTCCACTTAGCAGAGACCCCACAAAGAGCCAGAGGGCAGCATCAGAGCCTGGGGCCCCCGCAGGGGTGCCCAAGGAGACAGCACCTGCAGGCCATTGGCAAGGCCAGAAGATGGTGAGTGGAAAGTCGAGGGCACGTGGAGAGACCCTGAGAAGGGGCTGTTCAGCTGGGAGTCCTGCATTTGCCGTTTGTGTTTCATCCGGCGATTTGAAACCAGGTTTTTATTTGGGCAGAGTGGCATCTCCCTGGCCAGCCTCTTCCGGTCCAGAAGGCCCCGGTACTGGTGGTGCCGGAAGTCGCCTTCCACGGCGCTGATCTGCTTCATGGTGAAGGAACCAACAGTCCTCTCCGGAGCAGGCAGATTTGAGGACCTGGATTCCTCCAAGCTGACGGCTTGAGGGGCTCCTGGTGCCAGATGTCTGGCCCCGTACAAGGAGGCTCCTGGGGAGACACCGGCAGGCCTGGGTTGCCCCTGGGCAGCTGCTCTGGGAGGCCTGCTGCCGGCCACGAGGTGGGGAGGAGAGACGCATCGCGGTCAGGTAGGCCAGAGGAAAGGCTGGGCGGGGCTGGTCAGGCGCGTGATCCATCACCATATATTGTTTTTAAAAGACACAATACTATTGCAAATTAACAGACTACAGTATAGGATACCCATAACTTTTTGTTTTACACTTTATTTTCGTTTTGTTTTGAGTCTGAGATGGGTGCTTGTTCTGTTGCTCAGGCTGGATTATAATGGTGCAATCTGGGCTCATTGCAACCTCAGCCTCCAGGGCTCAAACGATCCTCCTGCCTCAGCTCTTTAAGTAGTTGGGACCACAGGTCCATAAGCCACCATGCCCTGCTAATTTTTGTGTGTTTTGTAGAAACGGGTGTTGACATGTTGCCCAGGCTGATCTGGAACTCCTGAGCTCCAGTGATTCCCCTGCCTCGGACTTCCAAAGTGCTGGGATTACAGGCATGAGCTATTGTGACCAGCATTGTACCGATAACATTTATATGCACTGGAAAACAAACAAACAAAAAAATTGTGTGACTCACTTTACTGTGGTGGTCTGGAAGCTAACCTGCAGTATCTTTAAGATATGTCTGCGTTTTCAATATTAGATCCTCATCTAATGTACAGTTCAAAAATATTTTCTCCCATTCTGTAAGTTACTCTTCACTCTGTTGATTGTTTCCTTTATTTTTCATAAGCATTTTAGTTTGATGTAATCCTATTTGTCTGTCTTTGCTTTTGGGGTTATATCCAAAATATCTTTGCCCTCCCTGGGCCACTTCTGCCATCCAGAATAGAGCCGGGGAGATGGGGCCCCGCAATACACAGTTAGAATACCAGCTCTCCCTTTCTAGAACCCTCCACCAAACTTCCCATTACAGTTGTTTGTTTCGAGATGGAGTCTTGCTCTGTTGCCAGGCTGGAGGGCAGTGGCATTTCTTGACTCACTGCAACCTCCGACTCCCAGATTCAAGTGATTTTCCTGCCTCAGCCTCCTGAGTACAGGTGCGCACCACCACACCCAGCTAATTTTTGTATTTTTAGTAGAGACAGGGTTTCTTTATGTTGGCCAAGGTGGTCTTGATCTCTTGACCTTGTGATCTGCCTGCCTTGCCCTCCCAAAGTTGGGATTACAGGCGTGAGCCACTGTACCTGGCTACCCTAGTACAGTCTTTACTCGGCACACTTTTTAGTTCTCAGCTCACCCCAGCATTGAGGAAATCTGTGCAACAGTTAAAGAGGGACAAAGAATTCCAGAGACAAAAATAAATATTATTCAAGATCTATTGTAAAATTTAAAAAGCAAAAACTTGAAAAACTGTGAAGACTGTGAGTCCATTCGTTTTTGTATATTATTTTTATTTTTGTTATTTGAAACAGGGCCTTGCTCTGTCACTCAGGTTGGAGTGTAGTGGCATGAACACACTCACTAACCTCAACCTCCTGGAGTCAGGCCTGAGTAGCTGGGACTATAAGCATGTGCCATCACATCTGGCTAAATTAAAAAAATATATTTTATAAAGACAGGGTCTTGCCATTTTGCCCAGTCTGCTCTTGAACTTATGGGCTCCAGTGATCCTTCCATCTCAGTCTCCCAAACTGCTGAGATTACAGGCATGAGCCACCACACCCAGCCTTGGTTTCTGTATATTCTAGGCATGTATAATGTATGCTGGGAAGACATTCTGGAAGAACAGAAATTATGGAGGGGGAGGTTTGGTTATGGAATATTAATATGATAAATTTCAGAGCTCTGGGTTTTCAAATACTTTGTCAACAGATGTGACTGTAGGGTGAGAACAAATACACTCACCCAGAGCCCTGGGCTGGAGATTCTACAGAACTTGCTGTCCAAGGTAGAAGGGGTGTTGTCGGCCCCGGGAAGGGTGATCAGACAATTCACTCCTGATAATACATGCCAGGCACTGACTCTGCATCAGGCCAGAAGTATAGACATCTATATACCTCTAAAATCATCAACTAAGACAGACCGACCCTTGAGAAGTTGCCAGTCATCAAAACCTTGTCCAGTCACAGGGCATAGGAGGGAGAACTGGAACACAGTCATTTCCTTTCATAGAGAGGGAGGATTTCTTCCCCTATTGCTAGTTATATTTCTAGTCATTTTTGATTGCCAATTTGCATTTAGGCAACACATATAAACAGCCTGCTAAGTGTATTTCCTAGAGTTCTTCCATGCTTACATCATCATATACAGAAAGAGGAAGACAGAAAGATGTACATCATATAGCATTATGCAACACAGATGTTTCTCTACTTAAGATGGGGGTAAGCCTTAATAATCCTGTCTTGAAGCTGAAAAATCTAAGTCAAATCCTGGTAAGTCTACATGCTCATGACTTTGCATGGGCTATGTCCTGATAATCTCATCATACATCCAAATTTTTCAATTTTAAAATGCAGGTAATACCCAAATACACCAAATCTAAAGTTAAAAAACTATAAGTCAAACCATTGTGACTGTGAACCATCTCTAGTTAGATGTAATTAAATGCACATACAGCAGAAATGGAACTTACAATATAAGAAAGAGAAAAAAAGACTTCACTCACGATGAAGAACTCAAAAGAATGACATCCTAAAACCACAGAGTACACAATTATGTAACTATATGCCACCAAAAATCTTATATAAATTTACACAGTTTGCTTATCACATGTAGTATTTCATCAAAATTACTCAAAGTGCATTGACAAAGTTGTAGGACCTTTGGTAAGCTGCACCATATCAGATAGTAGGGTGTTGAGGCATGGATCAAATACTGGACTATTTCTTCCAGTCTGCTTCCCTTCATAGGATAAAAGGTAAACAAAGGAAGCTCTGGTTTCCTGAAGAGATTCACAGGCAGGACATAGCAGAGCTTGCGTCACCTTCTTCATAGAGAAGCTTTTTGGAGCCTACCAGTTGGTCCTGAATATTTCCTTTGCATGTCCTCCTTCCAGTATTTCTGACGCCTCCAGCAAGGTGTTGATGGAGAAGAGAGAAGAGGAGATTGAGGGTCTTGATGCTCCAGGGACAATCAGCCCAGGATTGACATAGACCTCCTCTTCTCCAGAAGAGCCCCCTCAGCTATGGGGACAGTAGTTATGACATTGTCCCTATCCCCTACCCTCCTGCTACATCTCCAGGCACAAAACAGTGACTCTCAGTGGGGTCAGCGTCATTCAATGGTACCTGCAGCCTCCTCTTCTGACACCCTTCAGCTTCTGCCTGTCTCTGTAACACACAGTGGGGAAGGCTGTGGTCAGAGTCAGGAGTCCTGCAGTCCAGTACTGACCCTGACCACCAGCCAGCCCTGACACCTGCAGCACTTCCCCTCTCGGGTCTCCATGGAGATGGAGAAAACCCTCTGGTTCTGCACAGCTCTCGGGCTCTATGTGACAGTGGCTCATTGAGACATAAGTAACATGCAGTAAATGCTCACTTTCTAAGCTTTGCCCAGCTTTGACTACTATATGCACCGGTGTAATCATCCCCTGATCAAGATGTAGAACATTTTCACCACCCCAGAAAGTCTCCTTCTGCCCCATCTAACCAATTCCACCCATCCTGACAGGAAACAATCAGTTCCTTACAAGATTTTTACCAGCAGCAGAAGTCTCAACAGAAGACTATGAGGGCATGCAGGAAAATCTAACAAAATGATTTATTCCAAGACTGCAAATGTTCTTTGGTCATTAATACTGTACCATATCAATAGTCTAAATAAGGAAATAAAACATGTCTCTCTGGAGGCTGGAAAGACATACGGTAAAATTAAACACCAATTCTGATTTTTTTCAAAGCATTTGAGAATAGGAGGCTGCATTCCTGATGAGGAGAATTTCTGTATGAAACCAAAGTGGTCACCATTTCTAAGGGTGACATGTTGGAGGCTTTCCCCAGAAATCAAATCAGGACCCAAACACCTGCCTTCCTAAGCACAGCTGAACATTGTTCTGAAAGGTCTGGCCTAGGAAACAAGATGGGAAATAAAAATGAGGCAAGACTCTTGGAAGGGGCAGACACAATAATCATTTTCAGTGTCATTAAAAATCCCTAAGAATGAAACTATGATATTGAAATAAAAATCTATATCTGGAGGAATGTTAAAAACATAGCAGATGCAATAAGTTTCTAATAGAATTACAGGGCTATCTAACGCATAATGGTTACAAAATACACAAAGTACTAATGGTCATGAGAAAAGACAGGAATAACGTTATCTGAAGAAGAACACAAATGACAACTCAGTTATACTAAGATACCTGACTTCAAATGCTATCTTTAATAAGTAAATATTGATATCAATTATGTCTAGATTAATTTTAATTTTAAGGTAATTGATAAAAATGTCACTGGATTTGTTTTTGGTAGAAAGGAAGATGGAGGAAATCTTATAAAGTAATTTTAAATTTTATCTGGGTAAAATAATAAATTTTGAAACAGTATGGAAGAGCTGTTTGCTACCTTGGATATTAAAACACATTAGAAAGTTTCCATTGTAACCTGCCTTAAAATAATAAGAACCATCTATGACAAACCCACAGTCAGCATCATACTGAATGGGCAAAAGCTGGAAAATTCTGCTTGATAACTGGAACAAAACAAGGATGCTCACTCTCATCACTCCTGTTCAACATAGTACTTGAAGTCCTAGAAAGAGCAATCAGTCAAGAGAAAAAAATAAAAGGCATCCAAATAGGAAATGAAGAAGTCAGTCTGTCTCTTCATGGATTATACTGAATGGGCAAAAGGTGGAAGATTCCACTTGAGAACTGGAACATGACAAGGATGCTCACTCTCAACACTCCTATTCAGCATAGTACTGGAAGTCCTAGCCAGAGCAGTCAGTCAAGAGAAAAAAGTAAAAGGCAGCCAAATAGGAAATGAAGAAGTCAATCTAGCTCTTCATGATTCTATACCTTGAAAACCCTAAAGACTCCACCAAAAGGCTCCTGGAACTGATAAATGACTTCAGCAATGTTTCAAGATGCAAAATTAATGGACAAAAATAAGTGGCATATCTATGTACCAGTAACATTCAAGCTGAGAGCCAAATCATGAACACAATTCCATTTATAGTAGCCCCTGCACCAACACACCCCAAAATACCTACGAATGCTTCTAACCAAGGAGGTGAAATATTGCTACAAGGAGAGTTACAAAACACTACTAAAAGAAATCATAAATGACACATACAAATGGAAAGACATTCCATGCTCTTGGATTGGAAGAATTAATATTGTTAAAATTGGCAGGCTAGGCATGGTGGCTCGTGCTTGTAATCCCAGCATTTTGGGAGGCTGTGGCGGGCGGATCACAAGGTCAAGAGATCGAGACCATCCTGGTTATCATGGTGAAACCCCGTCTCTATTAAAAACACAAAAAAATAGCTGGATGTGGTGGCACACACCTGTATCCCAGCTACTTGGGAGGCTGAGGCAGGTGGATCTCTTAAACCCAGGAGGTGGAGGTTGCAGTGAGCCAAGATCATGGCACTGCATTCCAGCCTGGTAAAAGAGCAAGACTCTGCCTCAGAAAACAACCCCAAAGGATCATGATTCATTATTTATTTTATCAGATTAGGGGATAAGCATCATTTAGATCCCATGGTCAGTTGCAAGGGAGGCACAGGGTATCACATGAAGCACTCTGCAAGGAGAGGAGCCCTTACGTGATTTCCCAAAAGCTCAGGCCTACTGGAGAGAAAGGCCTTAGAACCTGAAGGCTGAGTGAGGCCGAGAACCTGCCAGAAGCACAGGGCCCCTGGGGTAGAGCACCTGGCCATGGAGCAGACCTGTGCCACTGCTGAAAACCCTTTCAACTCAGCCACTCCTCTGTGCTGTAATGATGCCTTCACCCCCTTGAAGCCAACAGTTTAAAAAGATTTCCCTACTAGGTGCCAGACATTATAAAAATGATCTCTTTCTATTTTATTTGATTGACCTAAGACATAATCATGGAACAGGGTATGATGAAGACCAAGTTGGACTGGAACTTGGTTCCCTGACTCACATCAGCTACGACTCCCACCTCATCACTTTGGCCTCCACCTCTGGGCAAGGGGTCTACACATTTTGTACCTGATTTACAAAATCCACATGGGTAGCAAGAAGAGAAATTGTTGGGAGCACTGGTGTAATCCACACCCTCTATGCACTGGTTACAATCTCCAATATGTTCTGATTGATGAGATCCTGGGATGGGAGAGGAAAGCCAGTGAATGAATTGACACAGAGATCCCAGAGGCTGGTGGCAGTGGATGGGATACTCTTCTTTTGGCCATCAGTAGACTCCAGACAGGGAAATCCCCTCTTTCCGGCTTGGTCTTGTCATCAGTTCTACATCTATTACACACCTTTGACTGGCACTGCTGGCAGAAATATAATACAAGCTGCACACAAAATTCAAATTCTATGAGAGCTGCCGACGGGATCATGATAGATGGGAGGCAGGACTAGATTGCAGCTCCCACTCAGACAGAGCAGCGTGTGAAGGTTCGCATTGTGAACTTATGCTTCAGAATGACTGCAGGAATAAATCAGGAAGACTGAGAAAATCCGCAGACCCTCTGAAGGAAGCAGATTGCATCTGCAGGACCTGGTAGACACCCCAGATACTGTGAGCCCCCAAATTGTGCAAGTGGGAAAGGGAAATTGCCCCCAAATACACACCTTCACTGGGGAAGCTGAAGCTCTAGATCACAGAGAAGATTCTGACCTTACCTGGAGCTGAGTCAATTTAGAGAGCCAAGTGAAATATAGGGGTAGAGGAAACAGTGGGGAAAGACTTGCGGGCTTACTGGCTGCCCTAGCAAGTCATTTCTGCCTTACCTCACAGGGGTCCTTGAGGAGGGCTGCCAGTGGCACTGGGAAAAGATCACAGGGAGAAGGAAACCTCCAGCTCAACTTTTTAACAATTTGAACTGATTAAGAAGTTTCCTGGCCAGAGCTCAGGGGAGGGCATGAATCTGGTGTGCAGACTCCACAGGCCGGGGAAGCATGAAAGCCCTGCTTCCTTTCTCAGCTGGGAGGCAGGTAGCTTGGGGCAAGTTCTCATCCTTGCTCACCCACTGCCTGGAAACTGTTGGGGGGATGCAGTGGAAGTGAGACCAGTTGTTTGGATTGTGTGGGAGCTAGGTGAGTCCCGTGACTGCCAGCTTTCCCCCACTTCCCCCCACTTCCCTGATAACCTGCATAACACAGTACAGGCAGCCATAATCCTCCTAGGAACATAACTCCATTGATCTGGGAACCACATCTCCATTCCCAACAACAGCTGCAGTAAGACCTGCCCAAGGAGAGTCTGAGCTCAGACACTCTTAGCCCTGCCCCCACCTAATGGTCCTTCCCTACCCACCCTAGTAACTGAAGACAAAGGGCATATAGTTTTGAGAGTTTTAGGGTCCTGTCCACTATCTGTTCCTCCCCATATTACCAGTGCTGATGCTCCCTTGAAAGGGAAATTGGCAAGCTGATCCTAAAATTCATATGGAATTGCAAGACACCCAGTGTAAACAAAATAATTCTGGATAAGAAAAACAAAAAAGGAAGATTTTTATGTCCTGATTTCAAAACACACTACAAGACAATGTGGTGATGGCAAAAGGACAGATATAGATTAATGGAAAAGAAATGAGTCTAGAAATAAACCATACCTTTATGGTCAATTATTTTTTGTCAAGGATACCAAGACCATTCACTGGGAAGAATCGTCTTTTCAACAAATGGCAGCTGGATATACAAAAGAATAAAGCTGGACTCTTATCTGACACCATATACAAAAATTAATTGAAAATGGATCAAGACTTAAACTATAAAACTTTTAGGAGAAACCATGGGGATAAAGCTTCATGACCTTAGATTTGGCAAAGGATCAGTAAGTACCTGTTGAAAAGAAAAATGAAACTGTGGGAAACAGGAGACTGGATGAACATGGAAAAGGATTGTTCTTGGTCAATTTTGAGTTCATTTTTGCATATGGTGTATTATAAGGAAAAGGGTGGTGTAAATGATTGAAAATCAGTCTTAGAATGTACCTGCTGGTCACGATTATCCCAAAGCGCTATGTTTCCATTGCTTTGAGGCAGGTGACTGATGATAAACTCTGATGGTTGTGGCTGAGCCAGGTATGACCTGTGGAGGCAGAGCAGGAACTGGCATGAGTGGCTTCCAGATCTCATCCATCAAAGATCAGTCTCACATTCCATTCCCCCAAGCCTCTAAAGCTAGACAGAACTTGCATCTTTCTCCCAGTTCTAACACTCAATCATTTGTTTGTACTTATATTTGTCTCTTTGCCCCTACCCCAGCCCCCGCCCCGCAGCCCTTGGCAACTACCATTCTACTGTTTGTTTCCATGAATTTGACTACTCTAGGTACCTCATATAAATGGAACTGTCTAGTGGCTAGCATATTTCACTTAGCATAAAGTCATTACTGCCCATCCATTTGGTACTATGCACTGGCATTTCCTTTCTTTACACTGTGTGCATATCCAGCATATTTTGTTTATTCATCTGTCGATGGACACCTGGGTTATCTTCACATTTTGGCTCTTGTGAATAATGCTCCTATATACATGGGTGTACAAAACCTCTTTGAGACCCAGCTTTCATACCCAGAGGTAAAATTGCTGTTTACTTCCAAGAGTTGTATAATTCTTGTAGATCTTACATTCAGGCCACATATGAAAAGTCAACAGCTAGCATCCTACTCAACAGTGAAAGACTAAAGGTTTTTCCTCCAAGATCAGGAATAAGACACAGAGGCCTCCTTTCATTGCTTCTACAGTACCCCGGGTAATGCGGGGCCCACAGAAAGAATCTGAAAGTGTTTCCTTATCCTCAATTTCCTGGAAGAGTTTGAGGAGAACTAGTGTTCGTTCTTTAAGTGTTTGGTAGACGTTAACTGGTCCTGGGCTTTTCTTTGTTGGGAAGTTTTGGATTATGGATTCTATATCATTACTATAGTTATCTTCAAAATCTCAGTTTCTTCATGATTGAGTCTTGGTAGGTAGTGTGTTTCTAGGGATTTCTCAGTTTTATCTACATGCTCTAGTTTGTTAACACAATTATTTGTAGTATTTTTTAGCATCTTTTGACTTCTGTAAATTGGTTTGAAGTGTTCCTGTTTCATTTGTGATTTTAGTTGAGTTTTCTCTCTTTTTTCTTGGTGTGTACCTGCTGTGGATCTCTCCTAATAGTCAACCTGAGACTTCTTTGATTTTCTCTATTGTTTTTCTATTCTCGATTTCTGTTGTCTCTGCTCTAATCTTTATTATTTACTCCCTTTGCTGGTTTTGGGGTTAGTTCACTATTCGTTTTTTAATTCATTAAAGTGTAAAGGTAGATTGTGGATTTGAGAACTTTCTTTTTTAGTGTGAACATTTACAGCTGTCACTTTCCATTTTAGCACCGCTTTCACGTCCTGTAAGTTTTGATATATTGTGTTTTCATTTGTCTGAAGATATTTTCTCAAACTTTTTTTATTTCCATAGGTTTTGGGGTACACGTGGTTTTTGGTTGCATGGATAAGTTCTTGAGTGGTGGTTTCGGGGATTTTAGTGCATGTATCATATGTCTCAAGGTATTTCCTTTTTTTGGAGGGATGACAGGGTCTCACTCCTGTCACCCAGGCTTAAGTGCAGTGGCACCATCACAGCTCACTGAAGCCTTAACTTACTGGCCTAAGGTGATTCTCCCCCTCAGCCTCTCAAGTAGCTGGGAGTACAGATGCACACTACCACACCTGGCTAATTTTTCATATTTTCAGTAGAAACAAGGTTTTGCCATGTTGCCCAGGCTGGTCTTGAACTCCGGACCTTAAGCGATCTGATCACCTTCGTCTCTCAAAGTGCTGAAATTACATGCATGAGCCATGGTACCTAGCCTCTCAAGATATTTTCTAATATCTTTTGATTTTTTTTAACCCATTGGCTGTTTAAAAATGTTATTTATTATTTACATATTTGTGGATTTCTCAGTTTTCCTTCTGCTGTTGATATATAATTTCCTTTTATTGTGACTGGAAAGGATACTTAATATTATTTCAGTTTTACAAAATTTATTAAGACTTGTTTTGTGGGCCGGGTGCAGTGGCTCACACCTGTAATCCCAGCACTTTGGGAGGCTGAGGAGAGAGGATCACGATGTCAAGAGATTGAGACAGTCCTGGCCAACATGGTGAAACCCCGTCTCTACTAAAAAATACAAAAGTTAGATGGGTATGGTGGTGTGCACCTGTAGTCTTAGCTACTTGGGAGGCTGAGACAGGAGAATTGCTTGAACCTGGGAGGCAGAGGTTGCAGTGAGCCTAGATCACGCCACTGCATTCCAGCCTGGTGCCTTTACAGAGCAAGACTCTGTCTCAAAAAAAAAAAAAAAACTTGTTTTGTGGCATAACATATAGTGTGTCCTAGACAAAGTTTCTTGTGCCCTTGAGAAAAATGGGTATTCTGCTGTGATTGGACAGTGTTCACATATACACAGACACATACGCTTTTACTAATGAGGGTTATATGATGTGTGACTCTTTTAAGAATCAGGATATTGAATTAAATATCAAGTAATGAATAAAAATTAATTGAAAATGGATCAAGAGTTAAACTACAAAACTCTTAGGAGAAAACATGGGGATAAAGCTTCATAACCTTCAGGTTTAAAAAGGCACTTTACAAACTGTCCCCCAAAACAGCCTGTCAGATGTCCCACTGAATACTACAGAGTCACAGAAAAAGATGAAACAGCAGTATAGTTATTTAAGGCAGAATTTCGGAGTGATAACATCATAAAGACAAGCGAAAATCACTGAATGTGGTCTCAGGATTGTCTAGTATTAAGGTACTAATGTTTACTGTCTGGTACTGAAGGTTGTATTGTGGTGATGAGGGAGAATGTCCTTCTTTATTGGAAATACCACTCAAGTGTTTCAGGGTGATGTGTATTCTATGGGTAGCTTGCTCTCAGATGGTTCAGAGCAAAGTATATAGCATAGTTTTTGCAATTGGAATATGGTGTTTTCTGTAATCGCACAATATTTTAAATTAGAAAGGGAAATTAGAAGAGGAGGAGAGAGAGCAGGAGGAGGAGGAAGAAGAAAAGGTTGTTAAAAGGAAAACACCTTAGGCTAAGTTCAGTCTGACTGCTGATTAGATTGAACGAAGATTAAATACAACACCTTTCTGCCTCTATGTCTTTAAATATCTGGTGACACGAATGTGTGTAGGAAACCCTGTCTGTGTTTCCTTTTTCTGCTCTCACAGCAGTGTATTACTTGGCTTGTTAGATTCACAAGTTGCTTCTAGTAGTTCTTCTCTACAAATGAAAGTGGTTCCAGTCCTTCCTTCCCAGTTATTCTGTCTTCCTCCCATGTCATACTGCAGTGGCTAGGACCCTGAGTTCAGTGCTGAATAGCTGTGATCAGCAGAAACATGCTTGGAATTGGTTCGAATCACGGAAAAAATGCATTTGATATTTTACCATTGTTACCGATGTTAGCAATAGGGTTTTATATATGCATTTTAATCAGACTGAGGAAGTTCTCTTCTGTTTCTGATGGTAATTTTTTTGTCATAAATGGAAGTTAAAGTTTGTCAGATGCTCTTTCTGCTTCAGTTAGCATGTTTATATAGTTTTTTCCTTCATACTGTTAGTATCATGAATAACATTGATTAATTTTCAGATCTTAATCCAACTGTCTTTCTGAAATAAAACCTACCTGCTCACAGTGTATTATCTTCTGCAGAATTCAATTGGCTATTGTTGAATTAAGGCTTTTTACATCTATATCTATAATAAATATTGTCAGTATTTTTCTTTTCTTATAGTGTCTGTCAGATTTTGGTGTCAGAGTTATGCTGCTCTTTTTTTTTTTTTAGTAGGAGTCTCACTCTGTCACCAGGCTGGAGAGCAGTGGCATGATCACTGCTCACTGCAACTTCCACCAGGTTCAACCGATTCTCCTGCCTCAGTCTCCTGAATAGCTGGGATTACAGGCACTCACCACCACACCCAGTTAATTTTTGTATTTTTAGTAGAAACAGGGTTTCACCATGTTGGCCAGGATGGTCTTATCTCTTGACCTCATGATCTGCCAACCTTGGCCTCCCAAAGTGCTGGGATTACAGGCATGAGCCATCGCGCCTGGCCTATGCTGCACTTTTAAAACACTGAAGTTTTTCCTCCTCCTTTATTTCCTGAAACAATTTGTCTAATGTTGTTGTTACTTATTTTAAAAATATTTATAGAATTCAGGCTGGTGCAGTGGCTCATGCCTGTAGTCCCAGCACTTTGGGAGGCTGAGGCAGATGGATCTCTTGAGGTCAGGAGGTCGAGAGCATCCTGGCCAACATGGTGAAACCCATCTCTACTAAAAATACAAAAATTAGCTGGGTAGGGTGGTGCATGCCTGTTATGCCGGCTACTTGGGAGGCTGAGGAGGGGCATCTCTTGAACCCAGGAGGCAGAAGTTGCAGTGAGCCGAGATTGTGCCGTTACACTCTAGACTGGGTGACAGAGCGAGACTCTGTCTCAAAAACAAACAAACAAATATATTTACAGAATTAATCAGTGAAATGACATGGGTCTGCAGTTGTCATCTTTGTAAGCTTTTAAATAATAAGTTCCAATTCTTAGATAGCTGTAGAAATATTTAAATGGTCTTTACCTCTTGTGACTGTTTTTGCTAAGTAGGATTTTTTAAGAAATTTGTCCTGTTTCATCTAAGTTGTTAAATATTTCTGCATATAGGTATTCATGAGATCTCGTTGTTATCCCTTTAATAGCTGTAGAATTTGTAATAATATCCTATCATTAATTCTTGCTATTGGTATTTCATGCTGTTGTTTTTTTTTCTTTTGAAGTTTGGTTTATTAATTTATTAATTGTGTTGATCATTTCTGAGACCTAACTCTTGGCTTGTTGGTTATTTTTATTCTTTGTATTCTATTTCATTAGTTTCTACTCTGTCTCTGAGTTTAATTGACACTTATTTTATGGGTGAGTAATGCAGACCTCTGAGTCACTGATTGTGTTACTATTCTTCTTTTAATCCTTAAGAACTTTACTGACATATACTTTATATATCATATATATGTCATATAATTATTTCCCCTTAATATATTTATAGGAGTGGATAACCATCAATAAAATCAAGTTTTGAACATTTCCTCATCACCCCAAAAAGAAACTCCATGCTCATTAGCAGTCGCTCTTTGTTTTCCCCAACTCCCAATTCTTTTCACAAGAGCCGTGAGAGCTGTGCATGTCACTCTAAGCACTGGCTTAGTGGCTTCCCACACATTCTGCATGTTATATAATCATCATAATTTATTTTGAAATATTTTTAATTCTCTTTTGATTTCATCCATGAACTATGAATTATTTATAGGTATGTTGTTTAATATTCACATATTGGGAGTCTTTCTAGATATAGTTATTAACAAATTAATTTCATTGAGATCAGAGAACATATTTTATATAATTTTCTTCATTTTAAATGTTTTTAGATTTGTTTTATAGCTCACAATGTGGTCTATCTTGGTGGAAGTACCATGTTCATAGAAAAGAATGAATCTCCAGTAGATGTTGCATATGTGCTCTATAAATGTCAGTTAACCCACTTATGCCTGAGGTTGCAATTTTTAAAATTTTGCAGTTAGATGTTGGCGGTAGCCTTGAGCAGTAAGAAAAAAATAATTCTTACATGTTTAGCATTTAGGATATAAATAATTCCCACATGTTGGCAGTAATGGAACCTCAGGCATAAATATTTGTCAAGATGGTTGACAGTGTTCAGATCTGTTGTCATTTTACTGTTTTCATCAGATCATTCTATCACTTGGTGAGAATGAGGTGATAAGATCTCCCTTTAATCCTTTCGAGCGTTGCTTCGTGTATTTTTAAGTTCTATCATCAGGCTATACACTATACACATCTATGATTATTATGCCTTCTGATGTATTCATTTTTTTGGGGAGGGGGTGGGGAGATGGAGTCTTGCTCTGTTGGTCAAGCTGGAGTGCAGTTGTATGATCTCAGCTCACTGCAACCTCCACCTCCTGGGTTCTAGCAATTCTTCTGCCTCGGCCTCCCAAGTAGCTGGGATTACAGGCGCGTGCCACCATGCCTGGATAATTTTTGTATTTTTAATAGAGACAACGTTTCACCATATTGGCCAGGCTGGTCTCTAACACCTGACCTCGTGATCCACTCGCCTCGGCCTCCCAAAGGGCTGGGATCACAGGCAGGAGTCACTATGCCCGGCTTAACACTGCAAATACTGCCTTAAAAAAAAAAATCTCTGTGAATAGCAAGTGAAAACCTGACAACAGTCTCTTGTTGACTCTGTGCCTGGGCAGTCCTCAGCATTTGGTTCAGCTGTTCTTCCTTCCCATCGCTTACATGAAACATAGTTTATGAAAGGCTGAGGACATCACATCCATGTTTGTGCAGGCTTCCTAGAACCCATGTTACTTACTTATCCAAGGAGGGCATGTCCAGCACCTAGTGACCACACTGCAAGGAATCCTGGAGTATCAGAGGCAAGCATGACCCATTCTTTCCTTCAGACAGTTCCAGTTCACAGGGAGATGAGGTGCAGCCATCAATAACCTGAAGTCTATGAGGTGCAAAGAGTCATGAGGGGCTGTCCAGGCAGAGGTGACAAATGCTATTGGTGGCAGGGACACTGGTGGACATAGAGGAAAAAATCCACACAGACAGGTTCTCAGGCAGACAGGAAGTCAAAGCAGTGGGGGAGGGAGTAACAAAAAGTGAGGTTGGGACGCAGCTCTGCAGATTGTGGGTATCTCTGATTGAGGGGGATGGAAGGTGTGGTCAGAGAGGTGAGGTTCTCAGTTCACAATTTGGGCCCATGGGGGTGTGAGGGTATGGGGTGTGTGTGTGTGTGTGTGTGTGTGTGTGTGAAAGAGCGAAAGAGACAGGTCTTGTTCTAGGTCTTCTCCTCCATAGACTCTCCTGACCCTGCCTCTTCCTGAGCTGAGTCATTAACCAGGGGATTTCCTTGCCTTATTTCTTCTGGACAAGAGTTGCATTAGGCTGTTTTAGAGGCAGGTTTGGCATTCACACTGCAGCTTCCTCTCTCAAGCGTACACGCCCTAAAACATGCCTTGTTGATCTTAAAATGAGGAACTTGGAATTGTTCTGAAGGTCTTCCTGTGGTGAGAAATATGTTTCTTTTGAGTCTTTTGTGGCTTTTTTCTTTCTTTCTTTCTTTGTTCTTTTGATATAAAAAGACCCTTGGCTTAAGAAGCAAGACATCTATCTTCTAGTTTCGGGCCAGCCTCATGGTCCAGGGAAAGCCACTTCTTCTCTAAACATGTCTATTATTCTGGACATAAGTGGTGGCCTTACAGGACTTCTCAGGGACCCCCACCTATGACCCAGCCCTAGGTGAGTGCAGGCCTCATGAACAAGCACCAAATACCCCCCTGGGAAAGGCCAGCACAACCCAGTGACCCAATCACTGCCGCTGCCCGGAGGGTCGCTCATCCCCCTGCCCAGCCCTCCCCTGAAGGAATGTTCTTTGTCTCATGACAATGAGGGTTCCTGTACAGTCTGGTTGTATGAGGATTCCGTGTGTTCATATGTGTATAAAGTGCTGAGGACAGACTTGGCACGTGCAAGTACTGTATTTCAGCACATGCTGTTGTGAGTACAAACATTACCCTCAATGTTGATTTTAATCAAACCACATCCTACAAGCCAACAATACCATGACCTGGGGACTTGCAACTCCACAGCCTCCCTCTGCCAGAGTCAAGCAGGGAGATGGTATCTCTGGAGCCCGCACAGCCTCTCTGGAGGTGGGGGAGGTGAGGCAGGTGGGACCCCATGCTTCCTGATAGCTATTTAGGTCCCTGGTGACACCTCCTCTGCCAGAGTGTGGGCTCCAGGGAGCAGGATTCACATAGGGCTCACTTGTCCTCCCAGCGTCACCAGGCGTAGACATTCTCAGAGTAAAGGGCTCACCATCCACTTCCTGGGTAAATGACTTTCCCTCCAAGCCCATGAGGTGAGCCCAGTGGTGGCCTCAGCTCACTGCTCAGCTCACAGGCTCCAGGCTGCAGCATGGGGAGGGTCCCCTAAAGAGCCCTGTGGACTCTGCTGAGGATCCCCAGGAGCTCCCAGAGGCCAAGAGCAAGACAGAGATACGCAGAAGCAGCTGTTCAGCAGACCTCAGTCCTGCAGAGGCCAAAACATGGCTGTTGTTATTCAGAAGGGAAGGCCAAAAATGCTAGAGGCATGGCTCCTGAGGATTATTTTTGCTGCAGTCAAAGTATTGAAACCACTGTTAAGGAGAAAGTCTTCAAAGCAGCCAGAGAACAAAGGTCTCCTCCCCATAGACAAGCCAGGTGAGAGGGGCAGCCTAAGCCAGAGAAACCACAGCAGGAGGAGGCAGCCGCAGAGGGCCGCCCCAGGCAGTGTGTCTCTTTCCTCCTCTTTACCAGGACTGTTCCGCCTCCCTCCACCCAGTGCTGAGACCAACAGCAGACATGGGGCAAGAGCTTGATGCGCTTAATATGATCTAATCCATACAAACCTATTACCAGCAAACTCCAATGCCTTCAGTTTGAAATTCTCTTCATTTAACTTTTTAAAGCGGTCATTCCTAGTTTCCCTCATTCTTACCAGTGCTCTGGGCAGAACTTGTATGTGGCCTGGTACACACACTTCCCCATTCTGAGCTGCAATCTCCTCCTCTGTAAAATTTGATGATTCCTTCAATTTCCTGCTCAGACACCTGGGTGGGCTGCAAGTCTCTGTGACTCAGGGTCTCCTTGTGGCCATTGTCCTCACCCCAGGACCTGGTGGGGGACATGAGTTCTGGGAAGAAACCTCAGGAAGGCAAAGAACCCACTCAGGAGTCCACATCCAGGGCTGGATGCAGGGTCCCCAGTATGCACCTGGACCTGCTGTCCCCACCCCTCCCAATGAGGTCACCCCAGGCAGCCCAGGCTCAGCACATCCAGGACCCACTGCTGGGGCCAGGCCCCTGATGCTGTGCTTGAGCGGACACCCCATCCTCAGGGTGCAGGCTGTGCGTAAGGGTGTCACCAGGGCTGCCGGAGGGACAGGGTTGCAGCAGGGCCTGCCAGCCTGTGTGCTGCTCAAGATGGCCATGTGTCTCCCACAGTCAGTCCAGAGCCCCAGGCCACTTCAGAGAGTCAGGGCAGCCATGAGGACAAGGGATTGTACCCACCTGGGTTCTGCTGTGGGTGGGAGGCAGTTCCCCAGCCCACAAGGCATCCAGTTTCTGGAGAAACCATGTCACTCTGTTTACACATTCAGGGATACTTTCACCACCTGGAAAAGGAGTCTCCTTAGCAGGCAGGGAGGGGCCCATGCAGCATCTCCCTCCCGGAGGGAAGTGGGGGGTAGGGGTGGGCTGGGGGCTGGAACACTAGACAAGGAGCCCTGCGCCTGGGGACAGGAATAAGGCCTTGCAATTCGGGAACACCCTGAGGAAGGGGGATGAGAAGGGGAAGTAGAGTAAAAGCAAACAGTTGGAAAATCTGTTTTCTGCTCTGTTCTGCTCTGACCAAGGCTGAGTAAATTCCCTGACCACGTCTCATCCTGACCCTTGTCACCCAGTTGAGGAACTGACTGCCCCCCGCCTGGCTGGGCCTGAAGACAGGAGGAACTGACCCTGCCCTCCTGGACTTGGCTGGGAGATGAGGGAACCCCCCCAGCCCCTGGAGAGAGACTGATGAGACCAGTGTCCTGTGGGGTGAACGGGATGTGGGGATGGGATCACAAGGAGGAAGATAGAGCCAGGCCGGAGACACCAGGACATAGGGCAGGGGTGGGCATTTCTGTCTGTGGGAACAGAGCAGGAGGAGGCAGGGCAGAGTGCCCAGCACCCCCACCCTCAGCCAGCACCTACTTGAGCCGATGCCTTTCAGGGAAGGAAGGAATTCCTTCCACAGTGAAGTCTTCCAAACAAACACAGCCACAACCGTGACTAGAACTATGACCCCTACGATGGTGCATAGGAGGTAATCGCAAGAGGCAGGAGTCCCCGGGCTGGTGGTCACTGTCTCTTCAGCAGCTGGGGTTTTTGCAGTGGCGTTGGCACCAGATTCTTAACATGCCTGATATCACTCCAGGACGTACAATTACTGACCAGGACTTTCCCACTGGAGCACCTGGGTACACACAGGGAGGGAGGGGGGACTCTTGAGGGAAAGCTGGCCAGGTAGGATGAGAGAGGAGCCACCCTCCCTCTGCAATGACCCCGAGAAGGCGTCAGGAGAAGGATGGGCTCCTCCTGTCTGCAGGGTCCTCACATGCTCTCTGGTTGGGGCTGGGGAAGGGTCTGAGCATGTGCACTTCAATCAGCCCCTTGACCTCCCTGCTCTGGGGTCAGAGCTGCAGCTCCAGGAGCCTTCTGTGCTGGCACACACTGAGCTTCCCTGGGCTGCAGGGGAGGCCTGTGTTAGGATGAGCCGCACTCCAGGGAAGATCACAAGCCCTAGTGGCCGCAAGCTGAGCCCCGTCCTCCAGGTAACCCACAGTGCAAGTGCATTCTCACCCCTACCTGTCTGCCGGTTCCTCCCAAAAAAGCAAACAATAGAGGGCCAGAGAAGGGAAAAGTACCCCTGGCCCTTACAACCCAAATCGGGAAAAGACAGGCCTTACCAAGAGATTGGGGCCAGGAGCAAGGTGGGCTGGAGGGGCTCAGGGCTTCATGAGAACTTGAAGGAGCCCCACCCATGGCCTTCTTATGACTTTTGTCGGTTCTGGGTATTTTTGTCTTTATGGGTCCTGCCTGCATAAAAAAATATTAAAAATTACATTTTTTTAACAACTTGGTATGGCAACAAATACAACCTACACTGGATTCAAGTGTTTTCTTCTCATTTCAAAAGGAAATCGCATTTCCCAGGTTTTCTGAAAAGAATCAAGGGAGTAGAAAGTTGCCTCTTGTGCCCAGTGAACAATTTGGCCAGGCCAAGGGGACTCATGCTGGGGAGGGGCAGGGAAGGGGCTGCTGCAAGGGGCAGGGGTGAGGACAGGCAGATGGACCAGGAGGGGCCACCGCAGGCTTAGGAGACCCCACAGGCTCAGGGATGCCTCATGGGGATGGAGGCTCCATGGGGTCGGGGAGAGATAGGGGTACCAGGTGACTCGGGTCTTCTCGGGTTCCTGAAAGCTGTCAGGAGCCCCTTGGCTGCTGTCTCATCCTGTGCTGCACTCCTGGCACATTTCAGGAAAGTTTTCATTCTGGAAGGTGCCTTCTTTGCACTGACACACTGTGTCTCTGGTCGTGGTTCAGGAACTTCTATCTTTTTGACCTGATGACAGAGCATAAGGTTTTGAGAATGTGTTTTCCTGATGTATCCCTCGACCTTCCTCACCATGCCAACCCCTTCCCACTCAGCTCGACTCAGTGAGCCACGGAGTTCTGAGGGCCGGTTCTGCACCAGCACACTCAGGGCTCATACAGGACACCCACCCTTCAGCTGTCACCAGTACTCACAGTCATAAAAAAGGAGCGCGATTCATTATTTATTACATCAGATTAGGGGGAAAGCATCATTCAGATCACATGGTGAGTAGCAAGGCAGATGCAGGGGCATCACCTGAGGGGCTCTGCAAGGAGAGGAGCCCTCTGATGACTTCCCCAAAGCCCTGGCCTTGCTGGGGAGGAGAAAGGGGCCTGAGAACCTGAAGGCTGAGTGAGGCCGAGCACCTGCCAGGAGAACAGAGCCCAGGGAGAGAGCCTGGCCCCAGAGCAGACTGGTGCCACCACTGAAACCCAGTCCTGTCCGCTCGGCCAGGCCTTCTCTGTGCTGTAATCTGCCCCCAACCCCTTGCAGCCGATAGTTTAGAATATTTCCCAGCCAGGTGGCATGCATTATAAAAACTATGTCTATTGTTTTTTTATCAGCCAAATTCATAATCATGGAATAGGGTATGATGACGACCAAGTTGGGCTGGAACTTGGTTCCCTGACTCACATCGGCTACTCCCACCTCATTGTCCCGCACTCTACCTCAGGGATGCCTCATGGGGATGGAGGCTCCGTGGGGCTGAGGAGAGATAGGGGTACCAGGTGATAAGGCCAAACTTATCTTTTTGGCCGGGTGCAGTGGCTCATGCCTGTAATCCCAGCACTTTGGGAGCCCAAGGCAGGCAGATCATGATGAGGTCAGCAGATCGAGCCCATCCTAGCCAACATGGTAAACCCTTTCTCTACTAAAAATACAAAAATTAGCTGGGCATGATGGCACATGCCTATAGTCCCAGCTACTCGGGAGGCTAAGGCAGGAGAATTGCTTGAACTCAGGAGGCTGAGGTTGCAGTGAGCCGAGATTACAACACTACACTCCAGCCTGGTGACAGAGCAAGACTCTGTCTCAAAAACAAACAAAAACTTTCTCTTTTGGCCCTCAGTGGAGTCCAGACAGAGAAATCCACTCTTCCAGGCTTGGTCTTGTCACCAGTTCGACATTCGTTACATATTTTTGAGTGGCACTGCAGACAAAAATATAATACAAACCACATGTAAAATTCATTCTGTGAGAGCCATATGAAAGGATTTAAAAGAATGAGGTCAAATTCATTTTAACAATGTAGTTTTAACCTAAATACTACATTTCAACATGTAATCAGTATAAATAATTGACATATTTTACTTTTTTACACCCTCACTCACAAAGTAGCATCCAGCCTCCTCTGCATGTGATCTGCCCGTGCTGGTCCTCCTGACCTGTTTTCCCTCCACTCAGCTCAGTGGCCCCTGTCTTTGCTCAGTATTCCTGAGCCCCTGCACCCTGGGGCTCTCCTTCCTGCAGGGCCTTCTCAAGAGCACTTTTCCTGGCTCTCTGCAAGACTGGTCCGGTTCAACTTTAAAATCACCATCCCTGAGAGGCCCCACCCACCTGTCTCTTTCTCACTAATCACTTAATTATTCTTCATGGTTCCCATCAGGACATCCTGACTGTTACATATATTTGTGTGTCTTTTTTTTTTTTTTTTGATACGGAGTCTTGCTCTGCCACCAGGCTGCAGTGCAATGGCGTGATCTTGGATCACTGCAACCTCCAACTCCCTGGTTCAAGTGATTTTCCTGCCTCAGCCTTCCGAGTAGCTGGGATTACAGGCAAGTGCCACCATGCCCAGCTAATTTTTGTATTTTTGGTAGAGACTTGGTTTCACCATATTGGCCAGGATGGTCTTGATCCCCTGACCTTGTGACCCGCCTGCCTCGGCCTCCCTAAGTGCTGGGATTACAGACGTGAGCCACTGCGCCCCGCCTATTTGTGTGTCTTGATAGCATCTCAGAAAGAAACACCATGAGGCCAGGGTCTCTGAACCCCCCATTATCATGATGCCTGACTGACAGAAATTATCCAATGAATCCCTATGGAAAAAGAACCAGAAAGTGCAGGAAACAGAAGTCTAGAAGCACATAGAGACAAAACCGTGATAAGGATGAGAGATCAGTCTCCAATGGGGGCCTCCAGGCTGTACTATAGACCCAGGATCCTGGCCGACCCCCACAGACTCAGCTTCTAGGTCTGCCCCAGTGCCAGGTAAGTCCCCATGAACTCACACTCCAGGCCCTTCCCTGGGGTCTTAGGGATGAGGCCCATGCCAGCACCTGGCTGACATCTGCAGACCCAAGCTCAAGACCCACTCCAGTGCCAGTTAAGCCCCCATGGACTGAGGCTTCAGTTCACCTCTCTGGAGACAGGTCTCAGCCTACCCATACATGCCTGGTTGCCAAACCAGCTTGCCTGAGGACTCCAGCGACCAGACCACCCTTGAACCACACCACATGGCCTGCCAGGAATCTGTGAACAGGCATACTGGTAAAGGGTGTTCCCTGACAAAGCTAGTCTGTAAATACTGGAATAAGTCCCTGCTTTTTCAAAGCACATATTCCAACATATTGTCACAGGCTCATGAGCAATCAGGAAAATATGACAGCACCAAAGAAACAAAATAAAACACAAGTAATCCACCCCAAACAAATGGAGATTTACAGTGGCCTGATGAAGAGTTGAAAATACTCATTTTAAAGAGCTTAGTCAGCTACAAAAAACAAAACAGACAACTAAGTGAAGTTAGAAGGACAATACATGAACAAAATGAGAAGTTTAATAAACATACAGACACCATAATAAAGAACCAAACAGAAATTCTGGAATTGAACAACACAATATCTGAACTAAAAAAATTCCACAGAGAGCTTCAACAGCAGAGTTAATTAAGCAGAACAAAGAATTAGTGAGCTTGAAGACAGATCATATAAAATCTCCAAATCACAGGAACAAAAAGAAAAGAAGAATGAGAGTGAGCACAGTGGCTCACACGTGTAATCCCAGCACTTTGGGAGGCCGAGGCAAGCTGATCACAAGGTCAGGAGATCGAGACCATCCTGGCTAACATAGTGAAAGCTCGTCTCTACTAAAAATACAAAACATGAGCCAGGTGTGATGGCACGCACCTGTAGTTCCAGCTGTTCAGGAGGCTGAGGAAGGAGAATTGCTTGAACCCAGGAGGCAGAGGTTGCAGTGAGCCAAGGTAGTACTACAGCACTTCAGCATGGGTGACAGAGCAAGACACTGTGTCAAAAAAAAACAAAACAAAACAACTGATCTCCCAACCCTCAATTCCTTAATAGAAACATTGGAAGCTGTACATTTTACGCTGAGCACTGTTAGCCACTTCCCACCGGTTTTGATGTGTTATATTGCCATTATTTATTTTGAAATATTTAACCTTCCCTTTTGACTTCTCTGAACCACAGATTTTTTAGAATTGTGGTGGTTCAATATCCAAATTTTGGAATTCTCTATGGATATTGTTACTGATTTCCAGTTTAGTGTCATCAAGTTTAGAGATCATATCGTACATTATTTAACTCCTTTTAAATTTCTTTAGACTTGTTTTATAGCTCAGAACATGCTCCGTCTTGACAAAACTACTGTGATCATAGTAAAGAATGAGTCTTCAGTGGCTGTTCCACTCCAGCTCTTTAAATGTCAGTAAATCAAGGTGCTTGAGAGTGTGCAGATCACTTGCTACTTTACTAGTGTTTTCATCTGATTGTTCTGTCAATTGCAGAGAAACAGCTGATTTAATCTCCTTTTCATTCTATTTTTGCTTCATGTGTTTTGAAGCTGTATTACTAGGCATATGCAATTTGTGATTATCATTATACTCCCTGATGAATTAACCTTTTTAACTACACAGGTCCCTTTTGATCTCCTGTAATATTCTATGTCCTAAAATTGTTATAGTAAGTAGCTAGTCAGGTTTGAGTAGGGCAAGAGAGGGTCCTCTCTTCTTACACTAGGAGGGTTGGGTGACCATCAGGTGATGGTTAGGTGGTTTTTAACTGTTTCTCTAAAGTAATAACTGGTTACAGCTGATGCCAGGGAAAGGCAGTCTCCTAATAGATAGAAAGCACCTGAAACTGATCATCAGCTTCCCAATAAGATTTCAAAAGTGGGGAGAAGTAAAAAAAAACCCAGAAGTTTGCCAGTGTGTAAATTCTCAAGTCGGGATGTCAGGCTGCACGCTTGGCTCCTCACGTCACCTGCTTGGCCATCTTCCAAGTTGTACTTTCCTTCTTTCCTTTCCTTTCCTTCCTGTTCTAAAGCTTTTTAATAAACTTTCACTCCTGCTCTGAAACTTGCCTGTACCTCTCCTTCTGCCTTATGTCCCTCAGTTGAATTCTTTCTTCTGAGGAGGTGAAGAGCTGAAGTTGCTGCAGACCCCCGCAGATTCGCTGCTGTCAGCGTAGAGTGACTTGGATTTCTTCCATTGCTAACAAAATCAACTTCATCTGATAGTGAGATAGCCACAGCAGTTTTCTTGGCCTTAGCATTTGCATGATTACCTTTCTCCATCCATTTACTTTCAACGTACAGCATCTGTGTCTTCCTTTTAATTCCCATCTCATAGACAGGATATAGTTGAGTCTTGCTTTTCCTGCCCTTCCAACCCTTTCTGCCTTTGAACTGTAGTGCCCAGTGGATTTACAGTTAGTGCAATAATTGATATAATTGAGACAGACTTATAAATGTACTATTTAAGCTATGATTGTCTTGTCTAATCTTTTTCCCCTTTTCCCTTGCATGTTTAAATGTTAATTACCTTTTAGGATTCCATTTTAGTTGGATACTTTTATGTACACATATTTCCATGATCTATATGCAAGTGCTATAAGGAATACAGTATACAATCCTGTCTATATTCTATTTAAAGTTTTAAAAAAATAGATTTACTGTGGTATAATGAATATGA